CACGCTATAAGCTGCATCGTCTGTCAAGGGAGAAAGGATTACCCTGCCTCTCTTGGGGAGACTCGTGCCCATGTTGTGTGAACAACTCTGCACGAGCACCTAAGGAGGCTTACCTCCTTACCAGCCCGTGGTGGCGCGTACGTGTCTCTACTGAGATGTACGAAGGGATTGACAACCTGAAATCCCTTTACGACCGTGCCGGGAAGACTTTCTCCGGCGGTCCTTCTGCGGCACAGGATGTGCCGCGTCGTACTGCTCGACCAGACCCAGTACGTCAACCATCAATTGGGAGCGGGGCTCCCAAGAATCCCAGGACGGGGGATAGCCGCGCCACCGGACGAGGTAACTCGTCCGACGTCCGTTCACGTCGCGGTGGTTCAACAGCTGCTCTACTAGATAGCGCTGGCCACCGCGAGAGTCCTCTAATGGAGGTGGAGGAGGAGGAAAGACGCTCTCCACACGATCATGTGGATCGGTGTGTTCCCGAGAGCTTCTTTGATCGCGTAACGCAAGGGTTACGCGACGATCTCGAGCATGAGCGGAATAGGCGTCTCCAGATGGTGGACACTGCCTCGAAGCATCGAGCTGAGTTTGCCTTTGCTCAGCTTGAGAACGAGAGATCTCTGACATCTCTTCGTGACGAGCTAAGGGTAGCTCGTGGGATTGTTGATCGGTCTCGGGCTGAGATAACTGCTCTTCAGACCCTTGTTGATGCCCACCATCGGGAGCACAAGGCTCTCTGCGAGATGCTTGAGCGCAAGGGCGTTCTTCATCGGAAGAAGCAGCGTACTGATGGTACGGCTTAAGCCGACCAACGTAAAACGTGGGATGCGTTCGCATCTTACGTGGTAACTCGATCGTGTATGCATTGCCTAGGCGGTGCAATACACGAAATGGGCCAATGTACTTGGGTAGTAGTTTACTGCTACCCAAGTTAGTCACTACATGTTTTGGTAGATTAACCGTAGACAGTAGGACTAAGTCACCTTTATTAAATTCAAGAGTGTTTGCCCTTCCATTCTTGTCAGCGTTTTGCTTTTGCTTATCCACCGCTTCGGCGATGGAGTCTTGCACAAAACGAACTACCGTTTCACGAGCCAGTATGAACTCATCTGATGACTCGTTAGCTTCAGTGCGATGTGAGTGCACTGCAGCGACATCAACCTTTTCTTCAGTGAGGGCTTCCGCGCTCTCACTGGCATCATCTTCTTCGATATCGATGTTATCGATATCGGCATCAAACGCAATGACTTCTTCGTCAGAGCGTGATGAGCGTGAACCAATTCGGTTTTTGCTCGCGCGAGTCCCTCCCCCCCTTAAACCAGAGTTACACTCTAGTAAGGTGGGTACACGCGGATTGCGCAAGCCATTCACGTAAAACGGTGTATGTGTCGTGGACGCATGCACCGAGTTGTTAATGGCAAACTCTACCATTGGCAAAAACTCACTCCAACTCTTAAAGGAGTGTACGTATCCTCGAAGTATCTCTTCAAGGACACGATTGGCTCGTTCCGTCTGACCATCTGACTCTGGATGATCAGATGTCGACATCTTCAAGCGCGTTCCGAGTGATTTGAACACGGAACGCCAGAAATCAGCAGTGAATCGTGGATCTCTGCCTGATACGAGTTCACGGGGCAACCCATGAAGTCGGAAGATGGTGTCAATAAAGACACAAGCACAGCCACTTGCCGTGATTGTCTCTGGTACAGCCACGAGGTGTACCATTTTGCTGAATCTGTCAACAAATACGAGAATACCCGTATTCCCGCGTGCGTCTTTGGGTAACACGAAGACGAAATTCATTGAGATGGATTCCCAGCACTCAGCCGAAACCGGTAGAGGCTGTAAAGGTGCACGCAGTGAAGGACTTGACTTCACCTGTTGACAGACTTCGCATGCGCGAATGTACTTTCGCACAAACTGATACTGGCGGGGTCATTAAAAGTCTCGACTCACCGTGAGATATGTTTTCTCTCGGCCACGATGTCCTCCTATAGGAGCATCGTGATACTCGAACATGATCCGCAAACGCAGATCAGTATCATCTGAAATGACAACACGTGGTGTGTCACCAGAAACGGCTGTATAATACAGTAAACCGTTACGAGTAGTGTATCGATCTGATGCAGATCGATACGCAGGCGACAATCGTTTCAACGATTCGCGAGATGGTTGGGAGAGATGTGTCAACAACTTCACAATCTCACCATCTTGGGCGTATGCCCGCCTCACATCATCATACAACGTTGTAGATGGAACTGAGGACGTCATAACCGCAACAGTGACTGTCTCACTGTTGGGTTTCACGACTGGTTCAAAGTCGGGACGACGTGAGAGTGCATCAGCGACGACATTAAGTCGTCCTGGTTTGTACTCGACCGTAAAGTTGTATTCTGCAAAGAATGACAACCACCGCGCCATTCGTTGTGGAAGGTGCGGGCTGTTCACTGCCGTGCGTAATGACGCATGGTCAGTGTAAACAATGAAGGGTCTATCTTTTAATAGATAGACTCTGAACTTCGCGAGTGCATACTTCATGGCAAGGAGTTCCTTGTCATGCACTGGATAGTTCCGCTCAGCTGGTTGCAGCTGACGCGACTGATAGCAGACGACGCGTTCAACGCCTTCAAGATCGTACTGCATTAATGCACAGCCGATTGCGAAATCGCTGGCATCACAGACCACATGAAATGGCCTGTCTTGATCGGCTATTGCTAGGACTGGGGATTGTATCAAGCTCTGCTTGATGCCATCAAAGGAGCGCTGACATTCAGCGTTCCAAAACCACCTCTCGTTCTTTTTCAACAAACGAGAGAGGTGCACAGTCATCTCGGCGTAATTGCGTGAACACTTATGCAAATACGCCGCTAGCCCAAGGAATTTTCGAAGACCTTTGACATCAACCGGCACAGGTCAGTCGGTGATCGCCTTGATCTTTTCGGGATCAGGACGTACTCCGTTCTTACCAACGATGCACCCGAGAAGTGGTCTTTTGCTTGCTGCAAATATACACTTCTTGAGGTTTGCATACAATTGATGCTTTCGCATGATTGTAAGAACCTGTCGGACGTGGTACTTGTGAACCTCAACGTCCGACTTTCCATCCATAGCTCGACTACGGATGAATACGTCATCGAATTAACTCGGCGCGAATTCTCGTACTGGTCTCAACAGATGTTATACACATCTGTTGAACGTGGCAGGGGCATTACTAAGCCCTTGTGGCATTACAAGCCATTCCCAGAGCATGCCGCTAGGCGTGCTAACTGCGGTATAGGGTATATCCCGTTCCCGCATAAGGATTTGATAGAAGCCATCCATCAAATCCATGGACGAAAAGATGGTACTCTTTGACATACCATCAATGATTACGTCCTTCCTCGGTATCGGCGTCTGAGCCGGTACCGTTGCAGCGTTCACTTTGTTGAACGCGTGCACTATCCGCCACCCTCCTGTTGCTTTTCGCACACAGAAGGTCGGAGAGCTATGTGGGGAAGTTGATTCCCTCACATGGCCCGCAGCTAAACGATCGGCAAAGAACTTTTCGATCGCAAGTACTTGTTCACGAGGCAGTGGCCACTGCTTCATGACACAGTACTTCGAGCCTGGTTTAAGCTCGACCTCGTGTCGAATACCTTTATCCTTCGGTAATTCGCACGGAACAGTTTCAGGGAATACATCCTTGAATTCAACCAAATCTTCATAGAGAGGATTTTCCTTGAGCGATTCCCATGATTGGGACTCATATCGCTCAATTCGTGTCTTTTCATCTAGGACACTCTCGTCCATAGATGAACTACTGAGAACTCTCTCGTTCTCAGTAAACACTGTTGCTGACCCTATGTCGGTTACGCACTCGTCGTCAGCGACGAGTACGCAGATCTGCTTGACTTTGCCACTACGCAGATCACGCAAGAACCTTTTATGTTCGAGCGTTGGCAACTGAGTGATCTCCGAAGTCAGCTTCGGAGGCGCAATCAGATCAAGTGTATAAGCGCCTACACTTGATCCGTTATTGACTATGACATTCAATGTCTCTGTCATTTCCTGGGGACTTATTCCCTCAGGCCTCGAAGGACTTATTCCTTCGGCTTCCCGGGGACTTATTCCCGCGGGTTTCGGGGAACTTATTTCCGACGTATTTGTAATCTTGGGACTTATTCCCTTTACTTCCTCTAGCTGGGGTTGCGCAACCACAGCGAGATCCTCTACGAAAGACTCTCCAGTCGATCTAGGATTATCGTTTCGCTTAACCTGAGCGATCGATTGTTTCTCTTCTAGATGTTCCCCGCTAGGGATACATCTTTGTCCCAGTCCACCCGACTTATTCGAGTGGTGGACCTTCGGCGCAGCCTGTGTTTCCTCACAGCCGCCGGAACTTTGCTCCGAAGTGTAACCGTTTGGTACACTAAGGTTTTGTGCAGTCGTACTAACGACCGTACCACAAGTGAGGCCATCGCACTCACTCGTAGTACATCCACACGCTTGTGGACGCTCCAAAACGTTCATCGGATGGCCATCTGATGAACAAGCGGCAGGCATCGTTACTGTTCGATGTTGCCAGTTTACTCGTGGTTCGTACTTTCTGAGCCACGGTATTCCAAGGATGACATCAAATTTGTCATCCAAATCCAATACGATAAAGTTATCGTCATATTGGGTATCTTCTAGCGGATAGTGGATCTTCACTATACGCTTCATGACGGTTACGGATGCGCCTGTCGCAAGACGTACCGTCATCCTCGTAGGAGGTGTGTCACATTCACTGAACTTAAAGTGACCATCTTCTAGCGATTGGCGTCGCACAAAATTGTTGGACGCCCCACAATCGACTAGAGCTCGAAGGGACAACTTATTCGTCACTTCGAGTTTCAAGGTAATGAGTGAGACCTCATTACCTAGAGCAGCAACGCACAACGTTTGTGTGTTGGGAGCAACCTTCATCAAGAGGCCTACAAATTCTCTTGACGTTGATGGACCAGTTGGGTGCTCCGCACCTACTGATCCTGTCCGTTTTTTGACGGTCCATCCCGTTGTTGCGTCTTTGCACCAACAGCGGACCCTCGTCCCTGCCCCTTTCTCATGGGTGGACGGTCACTACGCCCAGTGTCGCGAGACACTGGACGAGGGGCACTACACTCGTAAGCGTAGTGTCCTGTCTTTTGACATCTGTTGCATCTCTGCAACTTCTTGTAGCCTGTAGAGCGAGCCTTCTCGCTCTCTACATAACAGAGTTCCATCGGCTCTGGACCTCCGTTGTCATATCGTCTCGGTTGACGATATGATGTCGAGCTGGCGCGAGCCTGTCTCAGACTGAAGTCTTCCTGCTCCGCAATGGAAATGGCTTGTTCTAGTGAATCTAGTTCAAGCCGGAACAGGTGAGTCTTGACGGGACCATCCGCAAGACCCTGCATGAACACCGAAACCAACGTGTGTTCATCCACCGGATTGGAACTTATACAACTCGTGAGATGTCGTATATGTTGCGCGTAAGCGTGCACATCACGCTTACCCTGCTTGAGCTTCAAGAGTTCGGTTCGAGCTCTGAACTCAGCTCTAGGCGGTTCAAACGTTTGTCTGAGCCGCGACTTGAAGGCTTCCAACGACCCAAAAGCATATGGGTCGTGCAACTTGAGCCCCAGTGCCCAAGTCTTGGCACGTCCTGCCAGATTTGACTGGGCAAATGCAACTTGCATATCCCCGTCGTCGATGCGACGCGCCCTTATGGCGTCATCCAATTCGACGAACCATCTCAAGAGGGAGTCCTCTTTGACTCCCCTGTACTTGGAGATGTCAATCTTCAAGGTCTCGGGTCGACGCGAGTGCATCGACCCGCCAGCAGCAGCCTGCTGCTGCTTTCTCAACAGTTCAAACTGTTGAGCACCCTGTTATCTCAACAACTCTGCTTGTTGAGAGCCTTGTTGTTGAAGCAAGGCTACTTTCTCGCGTTCAGCGTCAAGTTCATTTTGAATGAACTTGGCGATAGTAGCATGTTGGGCATCTCTATTGAGAGTCTCTAGCATGACGCTAACAGTATGGATGCCCATGGTTGAACCCATTCGTTCAACCGCATCCCATTCGACATCGCTCAAATGGGAGTAGCCGTCACGCGTAGCGTGGAAGCTTTGGTCATCTTCATCATCCAACATATTCATGTTGGATGTGAACGCGGTCCTTGGACGGACTACGAAGTGCTACCAGGTGTATTTGGGGCAACCTGAAGCTTGTACTTGTGACAGTACAAGCTACATATTCTGATGACAGAATAAGGCGGTGCCTCGTAACTTCACGTACACTCGTACGTGCAGAGGAAGACGGTAAGAAGAAGCGAGTACTTGGTTAAAGTAAAAAGTAGAACTGTATTTTTCATAGTTAATGTCTGCAATAAATCACTATTTATCTTCATCTAACTATGTCTAAGTACAAATGTGCAACTATCTGCTCACCACTTATTGCGTGCATCTGTCGTGGCGCGTCTTTGTTGGTTGATATAATGGCCTATATCAACCAATTAGGAACTATTCGTAAGTGCTACAGAATATTTGTCCTTATGACAATATTCTGAGAATATAACTCTTATAGTTATATTCTATTAACAATTTCTTATAAATTGTTATGTAACGATTCACCCCGTTACATAAGGCAACAATATGCTTTATTTGGGGAAGCAATAGGTCATGGACCGGGTGTACCCCCGATCCGTCACCCAGACCAGCCTGGTCAAACACCGGGTTGACCAGGTCGGATACCTACTGTAAGGTACACCAAGTGTTGCACATGGACACAATTGATGACACTCAGCATCGCACTAAGTGCGACGCGGAAGGTTCCCCTGACGTTGTCTACGTACGCAAAAGGTGACAGACTAAATCGCACTTAGCACGAAGTTTGTGGTACTCCTAGCATTATTTAGAGGGAAAATGAAAAATGTCCCACTAAATCACGAAAATATAAGTATCTCAAATAATTAGAAGAAAAATGCCCCTCGTCCTTGTTTACTCACGTTTACGTGGTACACACGAAAAAACGAACCTTTGGTCTTGTCCATTTTCCATTTTACGGCTGCAGCACGCCTGCGGAAACCCTCCCCCCCCCGTCGTAGCTTCACTTACGGGGTCGCGCACCCGTCGTAGCTTCACTTACGGGGTCGCGCACCCCGTAAGTGAAGCTACGACGGGGGGGGGGTTTCCGCAGGCGTGCTGCGTCCCCCAGCCACCAGTTGTGGGCGCGGACGGCACAGAGAACATGTACACGCACCTTTGTATCGCCACCCGTGACCGTAAACGTCGACAATCAGTGGTGATGTCGTTGTATTATCGATTGTATTACTTTCTTTCGTTTCTTCAATTATTTTTCTTGTTATTTTAAAATTAAAATTACAACTATCGTTAATTTTGTTTCAGTTGCTCTTGTCGTTCTTACTGCTACCACTTCCAGCTGTAGCCTTTGTAGCTGTATCCTTTTGTGATGTACCTGTTTCTTTCTTTACTGCTGCTTCTGCTAGTGGTAGTGCTAATACTGGTGCTGCTGATGTCATTGTTATTGTTGTTGTCGTTGCTGCTGTTGCTGTTGTTGGTTCTGATGTAGCGGTTAATTTTGCTGCTGCTACTGACCTTTTTATACTGCTGTTAGTGTTGGTGGTGTTAGTATTCCTTTGTTGTGTTTCCCGTATGCTGTTATAGCTGGGGCAACATAGAGCGAAATGTAACTATTAAATCGACTATCATGAATCCATTCTATCTAGTTGACTCTCATTTTACTAATTTGCAGGCTTTACCAGTGCTGATGGCAACACTTCAGCTCCATTGCAGAGATCAGTTGGTGCTGTTCATAATTTTAAACTTATGGACAGTACGCTGGACGTGGAGAGTTCAATAGGTAAAGAAAGGCAGACGCATCAGCACATTGCGTGTGAACGATGACAATAAATAGGCTAAGTCATTCATCAAAGCATCATGTCGTTATATGCGTACCAGGTTAACTCGAAGTATACAAGGACGTTGGGATTTTTATTTAAATTTCTGATGATCTGGGGCATTTTTTAGTTTCGTGATTAAATAGGGCCTTTCAATTTTTCTTCTTCTATTTTCTCACCATCTCGAGCATTTTTATTTTCGTGATTTAATGAGGCATTTTTATTTTCGTGATTTAATGGGGCCTTTTTGATCGCCCTATTTTAAACTCCCAGACAGACAGAAAAGTACGATTTAAAAAGCTCATCATCCACCTTGCGCACAATCACTACTAGCTGGCTTGCAATCAAAGCCCTAGCAATCAAATCTCCCTACCCTGTACTCGTTAAAGGCTTTCTTCTATCTACTTCGTTGATTTTATCTATGCAGCTTTCATTCCGGATCCTCACAGCCACAGTATCGGCTGACTATTTAGTCATGGATGCCTACACGAACCCTTCGTGGCTGTTCACTTGATAGCGCTTACGACGGTGGCACGACACAACGTACTTCCCTCATCCAAGTAGAATTAGGCTACACGCATAGACGACCGCGATCACAGCATCTAGACCGTGTGCTGTCGCCATTCAATAGGTTGGACAATGAATACACAACGATCGAGCAAAAAGGACTTCCGTAGAGCCATTAATTATCTGCTTTCTACCCTCGAACAGTGTATCTCAGTAAGGTGCCAAGGCGAACGGGGAAGAACTTTTTCACTGCATGAGCCACGAAAGCAGCGCAGCCTGCGAAAGAAAGGAGAGTAACCGACATGGTGCTCCGAAGTATGGGGCGTGTCGAAAGTGTCCCGAACACGCAGCACTTATGGCACCTACTAATTTACAGCTCTGCTACTTAAGCCAACGACTTTAGCTTCTTACTCAATCGCAGCGAACGCGGACGTATTATGATCCATAGAATACTAGCAACACCAGTCGTACAAGTCTTTAGTACGTGTATTTTATCGTTTGTAACTACAGTAATAAGCTGGACCGGTATGCTGGACCGCCTGCATTTTATTGGACCTTGACTCGAGCTAAGAGAGTGTGTGACCGAGCTGAACTTGCGGCAATGAGTGTCCTGTTAATACTGCGACATTAGCAGCGACGGGTGCTTTATTGGCCACACTGATGAAGAATTACCCGTGACTTCCTGTACCCCGTATCCATGTTTACAGACTGTAAGATTCATGCTTGTTGATGTCAAGGCCATTGTCCTCATGACTTGTAGAGCAGCTTAGGACAGCAAAAGACTCATTTTGATACACCCGGATCATGACAAAGGTATCGCGTGCGCGTATGTAAGAGATCAGCAGGGGGCTCTACTCGATGAATGCACAAAAGTGGGGAAAATGGGTGCAGAACGTTTTTTATTTATAGCAAGCAAGAAAGTTCATGGGCTAATAGGCAGGGCGGTATATCTCAACCGGAACACTTCAATTTAGATTTCTACTCCTCCATGATCGTACTTTCCCTTCAATGTTCTCTATCAGATCGTCATTGTTCACGCCAGCCCGTCGTAGCAGCTTTCTGAAATCATCAAAACCGGTAAAAGATTCCCCTGCATTCCGTATAATGAACTCATCAAGGGAAGATGTTCGTTGTTGTAAGGCCCCTCGAAACCATGTTTCAATATTCTCCCACGTTGCAGGCCCTTTTTGACCAAATAACGCAACCTTCGCATCCGCCACTTCCTTCGCCGCCGCCTCCGCCTTTTTCTCCGCCTTTGCCTCCATCTTTGCCTCCGCCGCCATCCGCTTCTTCAACACCCATTCTTGTCTTTTTCGCGACATTGCTTCCACTTTCGCGGCCGTCGATTTCATGATCGATGAACTCCGGCCAGCCGACCCCAAGCTGCTGATCCACGAAGTAAGGGTCGACGTCCCCCTCTCTTCGTCGGGGTGGAACTCCACAGGGTCCGATTCCTGCAATCTCAGGGACCGAGTATCTTCAGGTGTGCTGGTATCGACGGCATCACGCAGAAAGGCGTTCGAAGTCGTCGTGGTCGCCGCAGTCATGGCAACTGCATCGCCAAGTACAAGAAGCGCGACTGCCGCAGTGAGTAGCAGCTTGACGGGCGGGAGCATGTGAGCGGAAGAGACTGGACTGGAAGTGGACCCTTCGCTGCAAATTGTGGAATGGAAGAAAACTCGTCACGCGGGTCCAAACACTTTGGTCCTTGACGAACGAACGTTCCGAGCCAGTGGATCAGCTGGTGCGAGAGGACGACGCGCCTTCTGCATTGCCATACCATCTCGCATGTTTGACACAATCGCACGACGCGGCTCTCTATGGACAATGCATTTAATAGGTGAGGTCCTCGTACGGCCGGAGCTCGGGTGTAGTCTGCCAAACTAAGACACCGGACCAGTCGCCGGCTTATCGACAGGTAAGAAGAGCCTGGTGAGCATTCGTTTTGAGCAACCTCTAACCTGCCTCGGTGCGAACTAACACTTAAACGTGCTAAATGCTGGAGAAGAAGGCATGTTTATGACCTACAGCGTCCAGTTGTGACAGGCTGTTGTCTCAGATCTCGTCTCTCCTTCAATGGTGTCCGTGTGTTTGTCAAACGCATGTTTGTATGAACCTTCGTCGTGCTTTAAGGCACGACCGTAGAGCATATGTAAGTTTGGCGATGAACGTCGTCTACTCGATACACCACAAAAATACCGAGCTTGAGATAGTACGATGGCGCTAGCACTCTTGCGTACTGACGTGACAAGCGAGACATGTCGTGGATGGCAAACTATCATTGGATAGGTTGGCGTCTTGCGATCGCGAAGTCACGTTGCAGAAGTTGTGCAGCGGCAGGCAGCTGCCACTCATTTTACTCCGCAGGTTTCTTCTACCCATGCAGCCCTTTTCTTTTTTGCTTGACTGGAGGTACCGTTGCTGTGTCGCGACATTGTCGTAAAGACGTCACAGCAAGCAATAACGCGGTTACGTCGAGGCGTATGCGTATAGTCAGACACAGCATGTGGCCGGAAGAGAAGTGGCGTTAAACGATAGAAAAAGAGGCAGAGTTCGTACGCTTGTAGAGGATACTTCCAGGGTCTATTTGCACGAATACAACGACGTCGACTTCTTTGCTCTGGTCGTAGATCAAAGACGGAATACCTATTCGTTCCATCATCCAAATCTCGTATCGATTCTCTATAGCTCTTTCGCCTTGAACGTCCATCTCTGGTCGAGTTTGATTGAGCAACTAAACACTTCTGCCGACATTCGACTTGTTCCGATCGTCGGCAGATGAGCTTCGATCACTCTATACGAATGTACTGTCCAGACAGTGAAAAATCAATGGAACTGCAGTTGATGTAACCGCGTGTGGTAAACCTACGTCAAGTGACGTCCGAAGGAATGTTCGCACCCGGCATCACAGCCACAACCACTTCATTGGTAGACACAGCACGTACTACGTTCCGCGTGCGCGGTCCCAGCAGGACGGCACGTCACCTTTCGAATTTTTGCGCTTGCTCACATACGTCTACAGAGCAACAGAACATGACGGAGTAGTGGGATGAAAGTACCTGACTTATCTCACACCTTAACCGTTGTTTCAGATCCCGCTCAAGCTAAGTTTGTACTAGCAATACACACTCTGGTAGAATGTGCTCGATCCACGCAGATCATTTATCCATACATCATGAACGGACTTGACTTGCACGGCTAGTTTTGCCATCTGATGTGTGCATGCATCGTGCCCCTGAGCGAGGATGCCCAGTTCATCAAAGGAGAAAGAAACCGGTGAAGTGATTGAGGATTTTGAAGAGTAAAATAGTTGGACCTCGTCCTGCTCTCTGCCCTATTTAGAAGACGAGCGACGAGACCGTACCGAACAAGCTGTTTGCGAAAAGACGTGTTTGGCGATGCTCGAGCTGCGTTGACAGCAAGAGTGTGAAGGATTCGCTATAAAATACGTGACAGGACCATTGGTTAAAGCGAAAGCCTCGCTAGGCTGCCGACATTCACGTGACCAGCTTAAAATTTCAACCCCGCGTGCTTCTTTCTGGTACAAAGGTTCTTGAATAACTGATTGCTCTAACTATTTAGCTCCACCGCCTTCGTCCATGCGTTGAGCGCTCGCAGTCACCCGCTCAACGACGCAACACTAAACGGTAGATAAAGAGTCCGCTAGAAAGTCGACATCTTCACGAAGCACACACATTTTTTGAGCGGAGGAGAGGAATGGCACATATAATACTTCAAGGCCGCCGTGTGACTCGTGGGTGAAAGTTGAGCTCCGATCAATAGTGCGGCTATGTTTTGAGGTTACAATAGTAGGGGCCCGCATTCTTGACTGGGGCTAGTCCTTGCTTCTGCGTCTCGACCCCACTATCCAAGCGATGTCCCGATCTACCTGGACTACGGACACCAAGGGAAGTGATCCTGTCCATGAGCAGATAAATTCTCGACCATCTTGTACGAGATGATAAAAGTAGTGATGTAGCGCTTTTGTGGTCGCCCAAAGCAAATTCTTCCCGGTCAGCAGTCACTCTGAAAAGAGCCTGTCGATTCTATCGACTCACAAGCTACAAAAACCGTGTCCAATCGCGCTGTACTTTTCTTTACGAAACAATTGGATAATCCTTGTAGCTGTACAAGCTCTAGATACGACACAAGAAGGCACAATCGAGCATGTGCAGAGACTATTCGAGTCATGTCAACTTCAAATGTAACGAATTACATGATGATGTAACAATCACAAAACTGGCTAACTAGAATATCATCTCAAGGACTGATAATAATCTCGAATTTTAGCTTAATCCGTAATGTTCGAAAGCATCTGCTTATTGACTGATATGGGCCATTCTATCAGTCCAAACAGTAAAGGATGCACGCAGCGGGTGGCTAGCAGAGCACTAAAATTCAAATTTGTGCTTAGCTATGATTGATTATACAAACAGACATACTTATTAGGAGAACTTAATTATGCTAAACTCAGTTCTACATTTCCCTTTTACCAAGTCTATGACTTAGTAAACTTAACTGCTTCTGCACGTACGCTTACGTGAAAATTTGAAGTACCAATTGAAATGTGTCAGAGCAAGTTACCAAAGTCATTATCAATTTAGGTACAGGGTGCCCCGTCACACCTGGTGGCACTTTGTGGCTCGTCAACGACTGTGATCTGAACAGCCAACATGAACATGTTGGATGCTAGTGATGATGATCAAATCTCCCACGCCATGCGTGAAGACTACGCGTATTTTAGTGACATCGAATGGAGAGTGGTTAAACAAAACGGCCTCAAGATTTGGTCCCCATGCAATAAGCTTCATGTTGGACTCTCTCAACAGAGACGATCAACATGTCACTATCGTCGAATCATTTTCGATGAGCTTGACGCAGAAAAGAAAAATCAATGATATACTAACAAGGCTCTCGACAGGCATGACTGTTGAGAGAACTAGGTGCTCAGCATTCTGAACTACTAAGACAACATCATTTCACCGTCGCTGTCCCTGGGACGACGGCAACGCTTAGACCCGACCCTTTAAAGAGTCAATATACATATACACATGAGTCGAGGAGGGCTCCCTGATATGATTTTTTGCCAAGTTGGACAATACCATAAGGTGTCTTCACACCTGAGCTGAGCATCGGCAAGTTTTATTTGGCCAATATATTATGGCATGGCGGGCTAAAACTTGGTCTTTAATGCTCAAGCTGTACGATCTATCTGTCTATAGGCCGCTGAAACTTTCATGACTCGGCTCAAACGAACCTTTGAGCCGCCAGAGAATGAGTTCAGGTCTTAGCCCGAGATCTCGTAGCTGAAGCATATAAGCGTGGTGTGAATGCTTACGCCCAGCACATACGACGCTTCGAGAGTAGATCTACGGCCAACATGGTCCAGGACCACGCGTTGATTAATGTTTCATGCATGGTCCTGTTGATGGTCTCGATATAATCCACATTTTTCGCCCGGAACTCGATACGCTGGTAGAAGCAACTTCGGTTCCAGAACAGGAGTAAATATCTCGAAACAAGTTCATAATATTACAGGTTCTTATCGTCAACCAAAATGTCAGAGGTCTGAGGTTCGGAACCCATAGACCTCTGTGACAGGGAAAGAGATAGGTATCTTCTAGATCCAATAGTTTTAGAGATGTAATAACTGTCAAAAGACAGGTCCTTACGCTTACGAATGTAGCGCCTCGAAAGTAGTACCAAGTAATACAGTTTGATCTGACCATCAATTGCCCAAGAAGAGCCAAAGAAGTGGATCCGGCGCCGCTGAAAAAGTGCGAAAGAGATGCCGATCGTCAAGAACGGCCGGAGGCAGTAGGGTCGGAGCATCCTTCTGCTACAGATACAGTGAATTCAAGAGAATTTGCAGGTCTCTTGGCGTGAATTTCTTTGTACACGCATTCCCTGTGTGTTACTGACATCGGTGATAGGAAATCCATAGTCACCTTGAAGGTTGAAGTGACAAAAGATATGTCGCTTCGAGCCCTTGTTGGCTGTGGGGCGTCGTACAGCTCTATTCGATACCATTAGATAGAGTATCGCGATCTTTACTTTGCTGAGAGCGATATCAATCCAACGAGGATGAATGTGCGTCTTGCAACGGCGTATCCATAACCGTAAGAAACATGTAGTAAAAATCAGTTACACGCCTAATGGCGCTCACTATCCTGACGATTCATTGTAATAGAATCGGATGATAAGTATGATGCCATCCTTGGTTTACCATGACGCGGAGAATATGACCCATCTATTGGATGTCATCATCAATACGTCTTGAAGCCTGCCACGGTTTCATCAGATGGCGATCTGTTGAACGTCTTGAAGTGTTCACAACCGTTTGAACGCTCTCCAAGTGTGCGAGATGGCCTCAATTGTGGATCGATTGCTAGTACGACTGCATGTGGGCTTAGTGCGACCAAAAATAGCACTGTGTAGAGATTCACTGGAGAATATGCGCAGAAACATGTAGCGCCGAAGATTTAACACTTGAATAAGCTCCGTGGACTGAATCATGGATACATGCACATCGATGTATCATCCAAGAAAGAACAAATCAATTACCCGTATGAAGAATTTGGACAGAAATGGCCCTAATTACCAGAGGAGCTAGCTTTGGTAGCGCAACTTCAGATAGAAGACGTTGAGGAATGAATCCCCTAGTATTTGAGAAGAAATTCTGTAAGACATTACTGCTAAGGTTATACGTACCCAACAGACTGCGGAGATAAGATATAGGGTATAAATGAGACATTGAACGTCCTTGTAATATCGAATGAAGTGTAATTATGAGCTTATACACTGGATCCGATTGCGCCTCAAAAAAAGTAACTTTGGAGATCAGCCAATTGCCCACACAAAAACCGAAACGGTACCTGCGCGATCTGCGCAGTGGATGGTCAGGAAGATATGCGCAATCGTTGCAGAAGACGATCACGTCATCGATATTTGGTTGTCAGTAGTAATTGCAGATAATGACTGGGATACCAGCAGCTCATTTATAAACGAGAGTACACTTGATGTTAGTAATCGGATTGAACTTCACACATCTTTATCTTGGGATTAGCGCCATTTGAATCCTTCGTATAAGATTTAAATCAATCTAATTTAGATACATGCCCCCTAAATCGTTGCCATGCGAGCTAACTAAGGATAAGACACTCGATATGAGATCGAGCTCCAACCAGGCTACGGATACTACGCAATGAAATATTTATCACTGCTTCGGAAATCATTAGTAGAGATCGACAAACACTTCATCGATCGCCTACCAGCGGGCATGTGAGAGACTAAACCTTCACACGTAGTTCTCTGAACTTCTATTTTCGAAAGGCCGCAAGAGAATGGCGGATGGAGTGCGTATTCTACAAACTAAATGCTGCAGAGGTACCAGCTAAGAAGCCGATAATAAAAAAGAACTTCGTCATAAGGAAATGGATAAGAGAACCAGCCTTTTTTTCATGGATATGATAGACAGATTCTGTCAGATTCTGTCAGATTCTTAAGCGTAGACGACATGTTCTAAATTAAGCGCTGAGCAACCAATGTAGAATGATCAGTCAATAAATAATTATACCACAACGATATGGTAACACCCCTGTTCAATTCAACAGATGTGTTACAAATATGTTGAGACCAAAACAGTTCACAACGGGTTACTTAGACGATGTACTCGTTCGTAGCCAAGCTTCGAACGTAAAATAAGAATAATGTGGAAGCATATCGAATCCACATGCGCAAGATTGTTACACTTTAACGCAAGAGCAAGTTAATAGCCAGCCTCAATAATTATACATTCGCAGCACGTATCATATATTTTATTAGGTGCGTCATCGGAAGGAACGGCGCACGACCCGATCCAGAGACATTGAGATGATCACCGACTGGCCAGTGTTAGTCAATGCTAAATGAATTAGGAAGTTTCTTCGTCCAGCGACGTACTTTCACAAGTAATCGCGCAACTTCGCCGGGGTAAATTACCATCTGTATCATTTGTCGGAAGAGAACGAGAAATGGCCATGATGCGCCGACTGTCAGCGTTCATTTGAAGGCATGAAGCGGAGCTAGTTGTAATCGCCCTCTTACGAGTGATAAAATATCAAAAACAATTATTTATAAGGTCTGTGGCGCAAGAAAAGGTGTAATCGGCTGTGCGTCAATGAAATATGGTAGTGATGGCTCTAAGCACATCGTCTGTTGTCTGTATAGTCAACTGCAACACGTTGAACGCAACTACCGAGTGCATTAAAAAGAACTCATTGTCATGAATATGCTGTGGGTAAATTTAGAGTTAGTCTAATTGCACGAAAACCCTTCATCATGTCTCCAGCCCATGCGTCATTACGCACGGCCTAAAATAGTCCACATCTGTCGCAAAGAGTGACGGGGTGATTGTTGGTTTTCAAGAAGCAAAACACTCCGTGAAAATTAGGATCAAACCCTGATAAATGTGGATCAAATACGATCTCGGAAGATTTTTGTCGTCTCAGATGCGTTATCGCGTTGACCCGATATGGAGCCGACCGCGCAACCCATGAGTGAAATCGATACTGTCGCGATAAATAAATCAAGTATTGTCCCTCGCTTGACACTCATCTGAACATGTTGGCTTTTGACCATCCAGATTATGATCGCCGGACGGAGCGCGTCAACCGCGTCCTCGACGAAATAATACAAGGTGCGTCCATTCGTTCTCTAATTGGAATGACTTCTTGCCTATGGCAGCAATTGCGTTTAACAATTCGTTTCATTCCTCAAATTGCATACAACGTTCTACATGAATTGATTGCGCCATCCACGTACCCCCGCTTTTTTGGAAAGTGCTGGTTGTCCATTTTTCAAATCGAGATTGGTGATTAAATATAGTGATTTTTTCAGCGGACTTATTAAGGTTGTTGCAATCGTACTACGTTTAAAGTAGTCCTTAGGTGAGGAGAAATACAAAAAAATAGTGACAATGGCCTCAGAACCAGCGCTGATAGAAGAATCGATGTTAATGCATCTTGGCAATTGGTGAATAATCTTCAGCCCCGAAAATACGTTCCGTCGTTGGAAGGTGGCAGACATGATAGCATGATATTAAAATTATGTCTTGGTGTTACCCGCCGGTAGAATGGCTGATAAACGCTGGGGTAAGAAGTGAAAGCAAATTAAAAGGAAGGATGTTCTACAGATTATTATTGATCAGTGAAAAATTAATCACCGTGCCTTGCGTTTGCGAAGTCCTTGGTATAATAAGGAGCAAAAAAGACGGTAATCTCACGAAATTTACATAGATCGCGTCACGATATGATATATATGCAATGCCGTAGATAGTTCTTTGCATAGTTTCGTAAATCGTGTTCAAGATGGGATGAGATGGTTATCACGAGTGAAAGCCAAAGCTTCGGTAAATTACATTTTTTGATCAAACAGATAGTAGAAGTACAAGATTACGATTAAAGCAAGAAAAACACGATAAATACATCGTATACCGAAAACGTGTGATCCATGTAGGAAAAGGTGTACCGATAGAATAATTTCAAATGACTACAACCGAGAACATGAATATACTGACAGAAATACGTGGCTATGAGACGTTGAAAACATCATCATTTTATTCCTCGAAGTATTTACGTTAAATAGCAAAGTCACGATCGAGAATATCGAAGTAGGCGGTCCAAAGGTACTCCTGACCGAAGATCAGAAAATCTACAATAATAGTTTTTACCAAAATTTTGCTTGCTTATCAAAAAGAAAAAATGGATTACATACCGCAGCGCGAGGAGAAACATGAGGCACGATGTAGGAGAAGCAAGACTGATCGCTCTACTAATGAGACGAGTCGCAAGATATTTCGAAAAATGATCAGCTGAGTTGACATAATGGTATATTTTTAATACCGTTATGTCAACCCAGCTGATTAGTTTGGCCAAAATTATCCAAAATTTTACATCACCTTTGACCTTGCCGGTAGTGATAATAATAAAGAAAACGGTAAAAGAATGCGGTTATGCATCTCCACCGACAGGCAAATGAACTGACAATATTGGTGGTGCCATCTTTGTCGCTAGTTAAAAGTTTTGACAAATTACGAATGAGGCGAGGTGGTATTGTTTCTTCGGTAAGGCTAGCAATATTTTGAATATAGACTTGAATAGAGCGAGCAAATATAATCTCTGCATTGATCACGATGTCAGGTGTATTGGAAAGGTTGCGAATGCCTTTATGACTGAAAAGTCCTCGAATGCCTCTATGACTGAAACTGCCTCGAACGCTCACCAGCGTTTGTTGCTTTGTGTAGATACCTTATCATCGGTGTCAATCCTCATACGCCAATTGCTATCTTCCATCTCAAACTACACGTTAATTGCTCATACTATAGTTGTTCACACTAAGGTAACTAAGCTCAAACCACTCTTCGTCTGGATCTGCCTAAAACTTCCCTTCTACAGCTCACTATCACCGTAGTCTTCGGTCAGCTTTGCACCCGTTACTACGTGGTAATAGTGTTGGTCAAATGGACTGACAAACTCCGTCGTTAGTCGGTCACACTTCGACATACATGTCGCCCCATGTCGACGTACGTACACTGCACTACAAAGGAACTGCAGCTACAATGAGGAGTGCGATCCGCTCACAGGAGCAGTGTCCGACCACCCACTTAAAAGACGAGCATGCTTTGCAAGCTTTGATGTTGCATGTCACGCATTATATCTGTTCGCCGCACTAGCATGCCCAGCACTAAATTGTACCACGTTCCGTTCAGTCGCGTCAGCGCTACCAGATGTCATTGCGGCACAAATGGGCGAGCAGCTGCTTTCTACGATCGTGCGAGACCGTCGCATACTTATGGAAAGAGCTTTGCGTTCTTGCTGTCTGTTGACACTTCACACGTCATGTCGCATTTGTGACGGACTGCTATGCTCTACTGACTAGTCTGTCGCTTGATGTATACATCTTCCAATGTGGCGCTGTACGGAAAAGAAAATACACAAAGGTGTGGTGTATACAACTGTCGCTCGCGCTTGGAGGTAGCTCATTACTAATCGTAGGGGTATGCGAATTACAATAACAATTCGCATCAACAGCGCAAATACGCGACCGGTGACTCAAATGGCAAGCACCAAAATCCCACTATAGCTTTTGTCTGCCTCGGATAGCCCTACCCGCGTCACATTTGACCAATAAAGGGACTAAAGTTACGAGCACAGACGACCAAGAAGGCATGCGTTGCACCAAAAGCGTGGCCATCTGGGCCGCGCATCTATTTGCGTCTATTTTTACCGTAATTGCTCAACTGCTGGTAATAAGCGCTGGTACGCATTCGAGACCCTAGCCCCCGCCATGTGGCAACTGACTGCATTTCTTCTTTCGTGGCATAGTAAACTCAAGTACGGGCCGTTGCGGCTGCTTTTCGGCCTCAGCACTCCCTCGCTCGCTCACGCGGCCCCCTCTTCCTGTCAGCCTCCGGCCCATAGACGTGGCCGTGACTCCACTTTTGCGTTGAGTGCATTTGGGTCGTGGCGTGGTCGTTTGACTCGACGACGACGATAACCGACCGACCGACCGACCGGCGCTAGAGAACGAGGAGAGCCACCACTGTTGCACCGACAGCAGCAAGAGATAGAGAGGGGGTAGGAGGCGCGACGAGAAGGGTACGGGTGTCGTCGGTCCTTTATACGCTAAAGTCAACCCAACCAACCAATCAAGGTGCAATGCCGCAGGTAAGTGCAGTCTCTTCGTTTCCCTTTCCTTTTCCGTCGGAAAGGAAAAAGCAACTTGTCGCACCGAAAGGGTAACTAACACGTTCCATCGTTTCACAGAGTCTCGTGTTTGCCGAACAAGCGCCTACTTACGTATACCAGAACGTGAGTTTCCGCGCCACGGTCAAACTCGTCGATGACGACCAGCATCCGGGCAAACTCCTGGGGTACGTTTTACGCAGTACCCTTTTTACCGGCCATCGGAACCGGCGTCGTAAACAAAAACGTACCGGTATTCGTACCCCTCGGGTTTTCGTCACTGGTGTGATGAAACACCTCACCCCACAGAAACGGTATTTTTCATCCATTTCTATTACTTTTTTCTAACCATCTTTGCTCCGTGTCTTTATCGACCTAGCGTCCGCAAGAACTTGCAAGTGATTCTGCGGTTCCACGACACGTACGACGTCGTGGACGACCGCGACGCAGCGCTGTACGTCACGTCGAACGCGCAGATTGACCCCACTACAGGCCTCGCTGTGCTCACCATGCGGTTACGCACGTTTACTGCCACTTGTGACGGTCGTCACTTTTGTCTCGAGGTTGGAAGTACCGAGTCGGTACCAATCGAGTCGGTCTACTCAGCGCCAGTGATTGTCGTGAAGGAGAAGCTCCAAGTGACGGCGCAGCCTCCAGACGTGTGGTTCAAAGACGAAGGAGGACGGGAGAAGTGCATGCTCGTGGCGTTGACGCTCTTGCCTGCTCCCGGTGCAACGTTAGAAGACCGTGTGGTGCCGCTGGACGTCCGGCTCTTGTACGAGAGCGGGAATGTGGTGGCAAATCAAGGGATTTTGCGGCTGTTTCCCGATATGCGGCCCAACATGACGCGGGGCCACGTTTCGATCTCGTTCCGGATCGACGACGTGTCGAAGAACCATCAGGGGCAGTCGTTTCTGCTGGAAATTGGCCCCGAGCGACAGGACAGTAGCTCGATGTTTCAGGACATTGCACCAACGCGGACAGCTGTGATTGCTGTGCGGTCGAAGCGGAACAAGCGGAAATTGAGTGCACAAGCAGCTGCGCTGTCGAGAGTGTATGGCTCGAGAGCGTCGCCGAGAAGCGTCGCGGGCTCGACGCCGTCGTGTACTTCAGCTTTGTATCGTGGAAGTGGGACAGAAGGGTACGAGATGGGTGGAGGCAGCGGGATTGTAGAGACGCACCCGCAACGGGCTCGCAAGTATGTGGCCACAGGCAGCGTGGCCATGGCGTGCGGCACGATGCACCATCCGTTGCCGCAATCCGCAGCGGCCTTGTCTTGGAGCAGTCACTTGATGCAGCATCCTCTGGCGAGCGCAGGATCTCTCATGCAGCCGTCGTCGTTGCAACATCAGCAAAATTCACCTGCACAGACGCCGGGGTCTGGTCCAGACGCCAGTCCAGGAGCTGTAGAGTGGTCGCTTGGTGGCTTTGAGATGTATCCAGACGGATCGATGAATACTGCACGGCCAATCTACCGTTGCCTACATTGCCGGCGACTCAATGATATCGACATGTTAGCAGCAGGTCCTGCTCTTTCGCACAGTCCGCAGTGCGTGTTTGCGCCTGATGGTGGGGACAATGGCAATGTGATGTATCGCTCTGAAATGGAAGGAACACTTATGGACCAGCAGCACCCGATGCAGCAGCGTGGGTACGCAGCTTACCAGCACTTGGGCGACCATAGCATGCGTTCGAGTGCTGTGCCTTCGACTTCTAGCATCAAGACTAGCTTCAACGGGAACAGTGTTGCAGCCGATACGACGTCACTTGACATGGAACAGAATATAGTCAACATTACGTCCAAGCCAGGGGACGCATCGCCAAAGACACTAGCAGCGTATGCAACAGCATCCACGCAGCGACCGTCTATGACGATCTCTCCGTACATGAATAAAGTGGTGACCGATGGAATTATGCCCGGGGACAATCGGCAAGACGTTGGACATACGCCGGTAAGCGGTAATTTATTCGAGAGCAATGCCTTCCACAACCAAATGGAGATGATGGGTAGCAGCTCAGACAAGCTGTTTTTGAGCAAGGATATTGCAACCGAGGTCGATTCGGTTCCCAGTCGGCGACAAGAAATCATAAGTTCGTCTTTCGGAGGTGTGATCGGCACATCTGCTTTTAACGAAATGACTAGTATGGGTATCAACTTGGACCAGTATGATAAGGGCGAGTCCCAGGTGCTTGGTGAGTTTGCTCATTTCGGTGAAAATGGTGATGCGGAGGCTTTGTGCGGCGAAGACCAAGTGTTTTACATACTGGCTCGGATGTACACAAACGCACACGAGCAGAAGCTCGGATTACCTGCCTTCGACCGTTTCCAGCGGATGGTACGTCAAGCTGTACAAGCTGTATGGAAATGGACTGTGGTGCTCACTGTCTTTATCGTATTTCGTTTGCTTCATTCAGCTTGGACTATACAGCGAAGCAAACGATGATGTTCAAACTCAGGTGGTTTTCCACCCGTTGCGAGACGTCTGCTTGTCTGATGAAGAGCGTGAGGAGATCACGTCTCAGTTTGTGGACGAGCTGGGCTGCGACTCACAGGCAGTGCATTCGCTGCCCAAGTACCAACACAATGTAATTATGCTACGGGAGGACGCCCTCATGTTTTACTGGAGTCAGTCGCTCGTGTGAGGCCGTGCTGTGATTGTTGAAGAATAGAGGCTCGGCAGCTGACGGTAAGGCGAGCGCTGTGTATTACGAGCAAACATGTCAGGTTCTAGTTTAGTCCTGTGTGAAGAGTACTTGCGTGTTGGGAGTGGAATGCATCGCGTACCATAGCGTGAGGTGCATGTTTAGAAAGTTAGCTTTGTCATAAGTCGTGAAGGTTCATCGATCAATCAAATCATGATTCTTTTTATCGTACAAACAGACTTCACGTGAATACTTGTGCACTCGATCGTTGTTTACAAAGTCAATCAATCGATCAGTGAGCATCAAGCTTTCGAAGACGCGCAATGGTACTCCCTTGTTCGACATTGTGTAACTTGCAAGAAGTGCTATTTACATGAGTATTGCTTAGCTGGCAAATGCAAAGCAAAACTAATTGTCGAGTTGAGGTCACACTACGATAAAGACAGTTCGTCGTGCGATCCGAAAAGAGTTGATCAGAACATACTGCTACAACAAATGACGCATAGCGAACGCTAAATCAATGTGTCGTAGAGCAACCGATGGTACCTGCAAGACGCTATTTCAATACGCATAAGCTGTGTTTACGCAAGAAGCTCGTCCAGTTCATACAAATGCTCTAATGCTAAAAACCGCTCTGGGATCAACAGGTGAGAAAGGATATGAGCGTGATATGATCGCCAGCATTGGTTGTTTCCGGAATCTCGCGCGCTGGATGAGCTAGAGTTGTAGGTTTATGAGAAACCCGGAGAACATATAAGCAAGAAGCCAGAGAGTGTCAATACGTGCTTTGACTTTCTTGTACGCAAGATCATCACGATGGACACCTGCTGCATTGCCTAAATCTCGCTGCTCGAAAAGGAGAACCGTCCAATCGATCCACCACCACCTTTCATTTACTTCAGCATTGCACTAAAAACGAGGTGGAGAGGCGAGTGTGATTACGAGGTCAAGAGACAATGCTGTGTTGTTTAAACTCAGTTCAATGAACGACATCCGTTGTGTATGCCAGCCATATAAATGCTACTGCAGTTTGTACTTCCTTCCTCAAAGAGGTGACGATCCTCTATCAGGATGATCGGAACGTCAGTGCTGGGGCGAGAGCAAACTATTCTCTTGGCTTTAACTCTTCGAGACATTGACGAATGGAAAGTTGAGCCATCAACGAGATGATACAGACATCTGATGAACACGCAACGATAAGTGTGTCGAATCCTGCTGTTTGTACAATGGAGTGTGTTGCGAACTGACTGGTACATTGAAACACAGAAGCATAGCCTCATCTTGCTGAAGCAGCGGTTGATATGGATTCGACAAGTTGCTTTGACTTTTCCTGATTACAACTAGCCTTGTATGCCAAAGTGATTTAATGAAGTAGATATCCAACACATTGTCATCAACTAGCGATTGCTCTGACCGATGCGGCGCCATAGTACACAAGTTCGACAGATAAACATCAGTTGCCGTCATTTGTTGTATAGATGACTGCTGCTAGAGAATGCAAGGAGCGGTAGAGGACTAGACGTATTGCTCTGCTATTCCATTGACTTGTACACGTCATTCCTGTTGCAAAAGCGGGGCCTGTTCATGCGAGTCTAGGTGCAGCAGAGTAAAGCAGACGTTGGATTGCCTACCAGCTGCTAAGTTTGACTACGTTACGAAACAAAACCATGCGACAGCAGTTCAGATGTTACGACATCGAGACAAGTGGACGGACGGACATTAGACCGGTCAGCACCACCGGGTGACCCTATGGCTCTCTAGTCGGAGCAGAAACACGCCTTTTGGCAGACTTTAATCAGTTATGTATCAGCATACAAACTGCAGCATGTTTGCATGGCTACAGCCCTTTTACAAACAAAAGCTCGACATTTAGCAACGAGGGTGCTGTGTACCTTCAGTGGGGAACAACAACAAGCGTTCGATGGGGAGTGATAGAAAAAGGAAAAGAAACGCATTTCTATGGAGCGAATGGACGCTCCCACGGTCTATTCCTGGACAAACGTCGCACACGCACACGGACAGGATTTTATTTAATCCAGTAAAGATGAGATAAAATCGGCCACGTGTATCATCATCCGCATCGTCCCGTCTCGTCTGTCTCCGCCCTCCCACATCTGTATCGATCAGTTCGAAACGCACGCGATATTCCCCTACCCGCGACTCGTTCTGTCCAACCAGCCATCAAGTCAGCTCGTCGACGTGCGCACGCCGACGTCGAATCCGCCAATCACCGGCTCGCTTTATCCTCCAAACCTCTCATCGACCAGAACGTGCCCATCTCAACTGCCTCATATACTCCGCTTCCGTCCAACGTGCCCGGTCGTTCCGAGGCCGTCGTCGCCTGGCCGTTACAAAAGCAGGACATAAACAGGCGCGACACTTCAGCTTTTGGCTGGCTGCGGGGCCTCGTCGTTCTTGTCTCATTCTCCAATTGGCACCGCGGCCATCACCACTCGCTCGTCCCTCCCACTCGCTCCCCTTCACTTGAACTGACTATGGGCAAGGGACAGCGCGTTCGTAAAGCCGCTGCCGACGCCGTGCTGGCGTCCGCCTTGACCTCCGCCCCAGCAGCTTCCGTGCTCGAGCAGCAGCAGCAACAAGCGCCGAGTGTTTCGGCGTCGCCATCGCTTCCGTTCGTCTCGTCCAAGTCGTCCACTCCGCTTCCGTCCGTCACCAAGCAGCTCTCCCCGCCTCGCTCCGACACGTCCGTGTCTTCCGCCTCTGACGACTCGGACGAGCTCCGTGAGCTCGCCACGGAAGAGCAGCTTGCAGCCTTTCAAGCTCTAGAAGACATTGATGCAGTCAAGACGACGCTCGACGCGGTCCTCGCGCGTCTCGGTGCTGCTTTCTCGTCCAAGAGCGAGCGCAACGCTGCTGCTATTGACCTCAGTGTAGCTCTGGAGCTCACTGGACTCGGCAGTCCTGCTGCTATTCACGTGCTCGAAGAGCTCAAGAAGTTGCTCGTGGCCAAGCCCACGAGTGCTCGTGAAGGCGCGCTCCTTGCGCTCGTCGCGCTGTGTAAGCGCGAGAAGCTCTCGGTGGCCATGGAGCCAGTGCTGGTCGAGCAGCTGACGGTCCTCATGCAACGCCATGCGGACTCGGAGCACGCGGTCAAGCACGTGGCCGTGACGCTGGCCCAGTGGATTGCCCAGAAGGTGAACCCATTGGCGATCCACTCGGTGCTCAAGCAGATTTACAAGGCACTGGAGCTGCGTCAATGGCAGAGCAAAGTTGCCGCTTTGAAACTGCTCAAAGAGCTCAGTGAGACTGCAAGTGAAGAGGTGTCTGGCTGGCTTCCCGAGATCATGCCGATCGTGACTGCTTATGTGTGGGACACGAAGAAGCAAGTGCAAGCCGCGTCTATTGAGGCGCTCATTGCCGTGTGCTCCAAGATCAGCAACGACGACGTTGTGCCGCTCGTGCCTACACTTGTAGGTGTCATTGCTCGTCCAGAAGAGACCATGAAGGCTATTGACAGCTTACTCGCGACTACTTTTGTCGCGAACGTGGACGCACCGACGCTATCGCTGATTGCGCCGCTGTTGCACAAAGCGTTACGGGACACGAGTATCCACAGCTCGTCGCTCAAGCGCAAGGCATCCAAGATCATTGACAGCATGTGTCGTCTCGTGGTGCGTCCATCGGACGTGATGCAATTTGTGCCTCTGCTGTTGCCTCAGCTGGATACTGCGATCGACCGCCTCATTGACGCCGAGGTGGTGGAAGCTGCGAAAGAAGCTCGAGCTCATCTCGTGCACGCTGCAGGCGACGGCGAAGCAATGGACGAAGACCCGATTGAGATTCGTCGGAAGCTGGAATCCGATATCTTGACTGCGTTCGTTGATACACTCGACCATTTGATGCACCGTAGCTTGACGAGTTTCACGCTCGAGTACGTCACGGACGTGTGCACGGAGCTGGCGACTCAGAACCGAGGATCCGAGTGGCGTACCATTGTCATGGCATATCTGATGCCCCACATGACCAACAGTGACGCCGAGTACGTTTGTGATGCCCTGCGTGCTGCTGGTGGTGGACTGGGCGAAGAATGCGAGAAATCCACCGACCCGAACGATGTGTGTGACCTCGACTTCTCGCTCGCGTACGGTGGCAAGATTTTGCTGCGTAATGCACGCCTTCGTCTGACCCGTGGCCACCGATACGGTCTCATTGGTAAGAATGGTGTTGGCAAGACGACTTTGATGCGGAATCTGGCTACGGGTGCCATTGAAGGGTTGCCGGAGACTCTGCGCTCCGTGTACGTGCAGCATGAGGACATTGTGGAGAGTCAGGGCAGTTTGCTCGAGTCCATGTGCAAAGCCCCGGAACTCGCGCATCAGACAACTGCTGCGGTTGAAAAGACGTTGACGGACATTGGATTCACTCAGAAGATGCTGGACGGCGAGATTGATGCCTTGTCTGGAGGGTGGCGGATGAAACTTGCTTTGGCTCGTGCTATGCTGTACAATGCCGACGTGCTGCTGCTTGATGAGCCAACGAACCACTTGGACGTCCACGCGGTGCAGTGGTTGGTCGACTACCTCAATTCCCTCGACACGATGACTGTGTTGCTCGTGTCACACGATACTGGTTTCCTGGATAACGTCTGTACGGACATTTTCCACTACGAGTCGAAGAAGCTGGTGCTGTACCCGATGACGTTGTCTCAGTTCGTAGCTATTCACCCTGAAGCGAAGCACTACTACGAGCTGAAATCGTCTGACATGGTGTTTAATTTACCTGAACCTGGTCGTCTTGAAGGGATCAACTCGATGACGCGTCGGATCTTGACTTTGGAGAACGCGACGTACTCGTACCCTGGGGCAACGAAGCCTCAGCTCGAAGATGTGTCGGTCAAGTTGTGTCTCGCTTCTCGTGTTGCTGTGATTGGTGTCAATGGAGCTGGCAAGTCGACTCTGATCAAGATGCTTGTGCAAGAGACGTCACCGGACACAGGCACGTTCTGGAAACACCATGCAGTGCGTGTAGCTTACGTGGCTCAGCACTCGTTCCATCACGTGGAAAAGCACTTGGAAAGCAGTCCCGTTGAGTACTTCCAATGGCGATTCAGTGGCGAGAATGGCGTGGATCGTGAACTTGGGGATCACGTCAACTTGAAGCAGTCCGAAGAGGAGAAGAATCTGTATGGCCAGAAACAAGGGCAAGTGGAGAAGATCATGTCTCGCACTAAGGGCAAAAGGGGGTCCCTCGAGTACGAGTGCAAGATGGTGGGTCTGTCTGAACGTCATAATAAGCGGTTCACACTCGAACAGCTCCAGGATATGGGTCTAGGTGCACTTGCTGAAGCCGAAGACATTCGTCAAGCGACTTTATCCGGTGGGCTTGACCTGCGTCCGTTGACTACCAAGGAGATTCAGCGTCATTTGGATGACTTTGCTTTACCTGCTGAATTCGGGACGCATGGAAATATCCGGGGTCTATCGGGTGGTCAGAAGGTCAAGTTGGTCATTGCTGCTGCAATGTGGAACCGTCCGCATTTGCTCGTGCTGGATGAGCCAACGAATTACTTGGATCGGGCTGCCCTTGGTGCTTTGGCTGACGGGATTCGTCAATATGCTGGCGGTGTGATTATGATTTCTCATAGTGAAGAGTTTTACAACTCGCTTTGTACGGAGAAATGGTTGGTGGAGGCAGGTCGGTTGACGATTATCGGCGAAGCTCAAGAGAAGGAGTACCGCGCGGGTGGAGGACGGAAAGTGATCGAAGAAGAGCCTGAAGAGGAAAAGAAGGTTGGCAGCAATCACAACGTGAGTATGAAGCGCACGAAGTTGACGAACCCCAAGACGTTGCGGCCGCTAAGCAAGCAGCAGATCCGGAAGCTGAGCAAATTGTGTAAAGCTGCGGGCGTGTCGTTTGACGACTTTGTGGACGGCATCACGCGTGAAAGCCCCGAGTGGAAGTGGCTGTAAGTGGTGGTAGACTTAATATACGATGCAGAAATGAATGGACACTTGACTTTGTGTTGTCTGGGATTTGAGCAATTGAATGTGCTAGCAACTAGCGGTTGACAAGTTGCGGGTGTTTAGATGACTCGTCACTTGCTTAAACCAGTAGTGATGTTGCGGCGATATTCGCATAACATCTTGATATTTGTGCGTGCACTATGACTCCTGACACTGCACATAGCGTCGGTGTTCTGACTCTTGACTCGCCAGTGTGTGACATTTACAGAATGTCTTGCGACCACTTTTATGCACGTAGTTTGGTCAAAAAATCCTTTCTTTCTTTCACGTTATGACAATATCTCTAGGACAGAGAGTTTGGATTTTTTCCCGTCAAACGGATTTTCGCCTCAATGGAAACAACTCAAAGGCGCAGCACGTTCCGAGAGCAATTGACGCGCCCTTATCGTGGCAATTCAAGTCGTCAACGACGCAGTCATGACCGACAGCAGAGCGAGTGCAGTCGACACAAGAGAAGCCGCAGTTGCAGTCGCAGTAGTGAGCGGAAACTTCGCTCAAAGAAGGAGAAAAAGCGTCACAAGATCAAGCAGATGAGGGATAAACCACGAGCGCAAGAGAGTTCGGAGGCCGATGTGTTGTCAGTACAAAGTGCTTTTGAACCAATCACCGAGCAGGAAGAAAAAGAACCCGAACAGGCGACGCCCGTTGATGTCAAGAGGTTTTTCGAACAGCTCCAAAAGCAGGAAGTTGCAAAGAAACCAGTGGGTACCGTGCACTCTCGCGGTGTGCCGCCCCCAGTATCGGCCACAGCAATGTGCAAGTCGGACAAATGGGAGTGCAGCAAAGCTACGTGTGGCCACACGAATTCGAAACACACACCTGCATGTACGAAGTGCGGTGCTTTGAAGCGCATGACCGAGTGGCGATAGGGAAGGATAGAGTCGACCTGAATCTCACCAAGTCACGTGATCGACCAGCTCTTTTGTACTTTTTGGCAACAATGCGGCGACCTCATTTCGCCACTCGTAGTATTGAGGTCTTGACTGAGTTGCTGCGCTATGTACGTTTTAAAAAAAGCAACCCAAAAAAGCTCGATCATTCGACAGCTTCTGGAATAATCCCGTCGACAGTCAGGCTATTGAAAATTTTAGCTCAAGAAGAAAAATGACCCAAACACGAACAATCGAAACAACATGACAACAAAAAACCTCAGTAACCGTCGTCGTCGTCGTCCTGTCGGGAATATCCATTCTCAAGTATCCCTTCTCTCTCTCTCTCTCTTTTTATATTTTCGTACTTAATCGATCACCAGAACGCGGCCTCCGTTCATTTATTTACTCCCATGCGAAAAATCTAGTTTTTGGCCAACTATCCACCCACCCACCCGGCTGTCTATCTGTCTAAATTTCGGCCTTTGATGCGACCGCAGTCGTCGTCGTCATTATCGTCATTTAAACACCCACCAGATCAAGGCCGTGTACGCCCATAGAACAAGAAAGAGCAGCAGCAAGTGAGCGAGCGAGCGCCCGGCAACAATAACAGAAAACAGAAAACAGGTCTACTACTACCACCACCCCCACCACCCACCCCCGAAGCGCAACAACCGTCCATATCCTCCTTTTTCTCAGCCCCCAGTATAATGACGGACAGCGAGATCTTGCGCACGGGCGTGTTGTTCAAAAAGGGGTCGGGCTCTGGTCCCTTTGGTCGCAAGAACTGGAAGCCGCGGTACTTTGTGCTCACGACGTCTCGTCTCCAGTACTTTACGTTCGAAGACGGCGAATTAAAGGGCGAATTAAGTCTCCAGGGCTGTGACGAGGGCGTGTTGGAGGTTATGCCTGCAGACAGTATGAAAACTGGCAGCAGTGCGTCCACCATCTGGCGCGTGGCAATCAATGCGCCCGAGCGTCGTCTGCTCGTTGCAGCTGGCACGGAAATGGAGATGAATGATTGGGTGGATAAGCTCGTGCTGGCGTTTCGCCTGAACGCAGGGCAGCCGGTTCTCCAGCGCGCGTCGATGCCTGCGTCGTCGTCGTCATCGTCGTCGTCCTGTCTCTTGACCAGTATGCCCCACAATAATGGTACCACTGGTCCTGCTACTTTGTATGGCAATCTTACCACCAGCAATAGTAGTGCCATGAATTGCAATCCCTCGATCCGGGATTTTCAAAACTTTTCGGTGCCAAGGCGAGGGATGGGCCAACGACATAGTACGGGGATGGATACACGCTCGATGACAGGCCAAGATGAGAGCGAGTATTACTCTGGAAGAGGAGGAGGAGGCGGGAGGTTGTCCATGGCAGAGAGTCGACGAAACACGACAACGACAACGACAACGATGAGGATGAAAAAGCAGGAACAAGAGCAAGAGCAGAAAGGGCAGCGAGACGAGTTGCCGGTTCAATTACTACCACAAGATGAAGACGAAGAAAAAGAAGAAGATGGTGCAGAAAAAGGACAAGCCCCGTTATGGTCAATTCGAAAAACCGCCGACTCTGACTCAGATTCGGTCTCAGACTCCGACGGCAGCGCCGCTGCTCAAGATGCTGCAATGCGTCGACAGCTGGCGTTGCAGCAGGAAGAAGCGGTTCATGCAGCAGCAGAAGACGTGCAGTGTCAAGAAGAGCGCGAGAGAGTGGCGGGTCTGGACCAGCATCTGATCCAGAGCAAGCGACTGGAGGAAGAGGCGATGCGCGAGCAGGAGCTCGAGCTGCAGCAGCGAGAAGAGGACGTGCTGGAGCAGCAGCGACGTCGGAAGCGCGAGAAACACGCGCAGCGACGTGCAGAGCACGAAAAGACCGTCAAGTTGAAGCTGCAGCTCGAGCAGGAGCAGGAGCAGAAGGACAGTGGGGTGGACGAGAGCGATGCGCACGAGCAGGACGGGATTGGCTTGGTGATGGCTGGTGCTGATAGCAGCGATCAATGTGGCGAGGAGGCGGGGGCTGGGGCTGTGCCGCGGTCGTCTCTGGTTGGCGACGTGAAGCGTCAGATGATCCACAAGCAGCAGGCAGAGCACCAACGCCGTCGTGAAGCTGCGCTAAAGCACGCAGCTCTGGAGCAGCAACGGCTCAAGATGGAGCAAATGGGTGTTGTAGATGGGAGTGAGGGGGAGGTGGTGGCTGCACGCGAGGTGGAAGCAGCACCTCGTGAGATTGAAGTGGTGCGACGAGTGCCGGTGAAGAAGCAGGCGCCAGTGGCGGCTCCGACGGAGAGTTTTGAGTTTTAAATGAGCGACGCGATGGGGACGCGTTGAGGACGTTGTCGTGTTTCGGTGTCTGTCTGCCTGCTTGGCGGACGAGCAAGATCGTACGGTGCAGGACAAGGAGGTGGGAGGCTGAGGTTGATTAGCAGCAAAGATCGAGCGAATACTTGCTTGGGAGACTAAGTGACGTGTGGTTTGTTGCTGGTTGTTGTGTTTCTTTCGGGCTTGAGTTTGCCAGTTGACTACGACAAGTGATACAATAAACAGAGGACGTGATGAAAGGCAAATTGTTACGCTGTTGTACTACAGGCCAAGTAGTATTTTGTCTTGTACTAGAATCAAGTAGTGCACATCAGAGACCGAGTGGGTGAGGCTTTTACAACACAGTTGCTCGAGGTTGTTTAGCACTAAAGAATCGCATGAAATGGTCGAGTACGGGGTACTTCACTGAATTTGGTGCGAGAAGTGGATCGGCGTGCTAAAGCTGCTCCTGCACGAACGCTATCCAGTATATTGCGGCGTAAGCGACCTTTTCTACCGCATAAACCTTCGAAGCAGGTGTTTCGCACCACCGACGAAAGCGCCAGTAACCACGTCGTTCGCGACTCTTGTCACAGTCAAGCAACAGCTTGTCCGGTCCAACGTACCTACACCGTATAATGACGCACTACTTGTGCTCAGAAGTCCGCACCAATCCAATAAGATCCCACGTCAAATAATCCTCCACATTCCAGCACAAAGCAGCGCAAATGACGAACGAAAACAGACCCCGCTGTTTACCCTCCAACCTCTCTCTCTTTTACTCGTCATTGTGAGCCACTACTACCAAGTGCCCATCTACTGCTCGTTGTTCGGGTCAAGATCCGGCATATCTTCGTCGTCACTGTCGCTGCCGTCATCGCCCATCATGCCCGAGGCATTTTGGGCCGCCATCATCTGGTTAATGTCAAAGCCGCCCCCGCCATTGAGCGCACTCATGTCAAAGCCGCTCTGGCCCTCGTCCTCGTCCTCGTCGACAAACTTGCTCCAGTCCACCTTGACATTCGTCTTCTCCAAGTGTTTGTCCGCCAGCAAACGCGGCCAAAACTCCTCGTCCTGGTGCTTCTTCACAATGTAAAAGTGCAGATTGCGGTCCGTCTTGGCCCAGATACTCTCCTTGGACTCGGCGTCCACTTCTTTGAAAAAATCCAGGGTTACTTCATACTCCTGACCGGTACTCGTGCCTCTATAAACGAATACACCAAAACCCAATCGACAAAAAACAAAAGGTTGATATCGTATTCGTTTCCAAAGTCACACATCAGAAAACACAGTGACGTGCATCCGTACTTAAACGTTAGGTTCGTGTTGCTCAGCGTCACCGTCTCGTCCTTCACATCCGGTAGATCCACCGTGACGTACAGCGCTTCTTTGCGCTGCGCCCACTTGACAGGCGCCCACAGCGGCTTGGACTCGGACATTGCTTCGGTAGACTAGCGACGTGAAGTAGGGAAGTAAGCGCTCGGGTGGTGGCGAACGAAGCTTTGATACTACTACCGAACTGACTGGGCTTCGAGAACGTTTGGTCTGCGCGAGACTAGTGGTACACACGAAGTATGCTGTCCGGTAGGTTTGATATGATCGACGACAAGTGTGCGGCTAGAGCTGCCAGCGATTGGAGGAATCAGAATCCAGGACTTTGATGCGCGAGCTCTTGTGTAACTGCATAACCCGTGACAGAGAGTTATAGTATCAACTATGCAGCTGGAAAGCACGGGGTACATGACTTTCACATACAACATGTACAACATCCCTTTTCCGATCAAAGTGCGTGTCCGAGAATTTATATTGTTGAGAGGTTCTTGCCCGTGGTTCAATGACCTGCCGTTGCTGTCCACGTCTTTGTCGCCTCTGGATTCGAAGTATGATAGATAGATTAGGCTTACCGTTGGATGTAAAGTGTGGGGGTAACCTTGTTTTCTACCGACCACACTGAATAGGTGCGCAGACACTTAGATTTTTGTACGCATCTATAGTGTTCAGCGTCCGGCAAAGAATGTCCTGGATCGTAATGTCACATGCGCTTATTAATCCTGAACTTGCCTTTGGGCGAACATGTTTTAGCTACACCATTTGGTTCATCATACAAAATGGTCCGTCTGATAAACTATGTCCGAACTTTACGGATCCTCGAGCTTGGTGTGCGGATCAGCAAGAGTTCGTCCGTTCACAGCTTGACGGGTAGGCGAATGCGTTTTCCAAACGGATGCTTTGAGTGCTCCTGTGTAAGTGGAGCATAGTGTTCCCTTCATTAACCTCAACGCTTGATTGCGGCAAAATGCTGTGCTTTACGATCTCATCGAGAAAAAAGTAGACGAATCGATCGTTCACGAAGCATGAGCACGTAACACTTCGCTGACACTTCATTTCGTGCGGGAGATGCGCTCGATTTCTACAAGAATTGATCAGCTCTGACGCGCAGGAACGATGATAGAACACATGGATTTCACAACACACGCACAACCTCTAGAGAAAGCTATCGAGTCATCGTTTACTGCTTATATTTAGAATGCAGAAAACGTGTCATTCGCCATCGAACGACAGATCGACGAGACGTGGCCACGCTAAATCAAGTCAACATCCTTTTTTTAAGCTGTCATAATAGCAGTCTGGAAAAGATCAGGACATAATCCAATCACAAACATGGATGTTTACAGATGGTAGGAAAAGATCAGGACATAATCCAATCACAAACATGGATATTTGCAGATGGTAGGAAAAGATCAGGACATAATCCAATCACACACATGGATATTTACAGATGGCAGTGATGCGGACTATACTGACATTTCTCGAGCGAGCGTACGTTTCTTCCTCTTTCGGCTCAAAACTGACTCTTTTCTTATCGTGTAAACGTTGCATACGCGGCATAAACACAAAACTCGTGGTCCGCCGGACTGCTCTACTCCCTCACATTTCAGCATTTGTCTCGAAACAAAGCGACGACTGCCTGACCATCATCCACTGAACAATGTGCTGCTGCTGCGACGACGACTGCGCGTGCTGCCTCTGCGGATCGCTGACCGCTCTGTGCTGTTGCTGCCGAGACGACAAGCGTCGTCATGACCGCCGCAGTCGCCGATCCTCGAGACATGACCGGGTTGTCTACGTGAACCCCGTTGTCGTTCAGCCTGGACCGCACCACGGGCATCACAACGGGGGCTACTACAATCAAGTGTAGTGAAGAAGCTCGATAAGCAAGAACAACTCACTGACGACAGAAGGGCGGTCGTAGTCATGTCTGTCTGGCGCGGCGTATCGTGCTTTTTTGCCGGACTGAAACGCACGCAATGCGGCCTGCAAAGTTAGAGCTTAACCTGTATGTAGACCAACGGGGAACGTGTTTGGCCACTTTATTCGGTGCAAGATGTTGCGTTTGTTCTGTTGTGATGCTGAAAACAGGATAAAGGTCCATGTGAGCACGATACAGCATACACAGCGACTTGGTTCTAAAGTTCCTCTTTCATCTCAGCGTGAGTTCATGCGAATAGTGTTGTTGCCTCGCGCACGTCCGTTTCTTCACGGGTACAAAACTGCATTGAACAGCATAGCAACCCATCAGGTTATTCGATAATCTCGACTAACACGGTGAAAGTCCGTATAATGAATACCCTTGCAAGTCAAAACAGTCAAGATTCTACAAAGTCTGATGGAACTTCCAGTACTTGAACAACGACTCGAGCTAAACACTCAGCAAAGGGAGCGCACCGCTAAGAGTTCAGCGTCAGCTATCGAGTCAGAATAGAGACTACGCAAGTCGTGCTTATTAGGCGACGCCAACAAAGTATTAGTCGGTGAATAGCTTGAATTACCAACGAATCTTGAATTCATCCTCACTCATAAGGGCTTAAATGTAGTAGGACGGTGGTGGACGCCGCGTGGAAGGATTTACTCTGGAGTTGGGATGTACCCTTGGAAGTCGATAAGCGCCTGTACTACCCACAGTAGCGTCTCCACTGCACTGTAACTTGTCTTCAGCTTGACAAACTTGGTAGACAAAGCTCGGCACTGCCAGAGCCAAATCGAACCCTCCGAGTCGATGGAGTCGATACTGAGCATTGAGACTCAACGGCTGGAGGACTTTCAGCACCCGGTCAATGTCGGACTTTTGGTCTTCTCCTTCGGAATACCCTTCAAAAGCGTTATCCGACGACCACGAGCTCGAGACCCTATCCTCACTCACGTAAGGAATCCATTGCTCTGACCTGGCGTCGTTCCTCTTGTTAAGTACGAACCCTTCAACATCGACAGTACTGTCTTTTGACCAAATGGTCCGAAAATCCAGGGTCTGGCAATCGCGATTATCAACTGTTGCAGCGGCTCTCGTTTCCACGTGTTTTCGACTCTGCCGCCTCATTCTCGCGTGCATTTGTGCGTCGAATACATTATGGCCGACGGATTGATTCCGCCGTCTACATTTACCACGTCGTTTGTTTCCCAACATTAATCGGGGGGCTAGGAAAGCAAACGCTCTCCTTTGTTCAATGTAACTGCGCGCCAGTTTTCTTGCTTGTGAAGATGTAAAAAAGGAGATTTATTCAGAATGGAAACTCGAACGGGTTGAGCGCGGGTGGACGTTATTGTTCCTTCACTACTCGAAGAAAGTTATGACGTTGAATGCATTCGATCAATGACCTACTTCCCTTGCGTTCGTGCTCACTTGTTCGATTGCCAGGTCGCGGCACCATGTACTAGATGGATGACATCTCTCCAAGAAGCAAACTTAAATATCACAGTTCGGAGGATCTTTTGTTGTCAGCTGATTCTTTTATTCTTTACAAGAGGAAAAAGGAATGCGCCCTCGTGTCACACGCTATGCTGATCTGCGTGGCCAGCAACGGGACAAAGAAACGACGTTTCTCTTTGTGCCACTGGATTTCTAACTGCCTTGATTTCAATCACGGGCCGTTGATGGGCCATCCCACAAAAGAAACAAGACAAAAGCACGAGCGCCGCAGCCGAAATTCCAGTATGTGCATCCCCATCTGCGTCCCGTGCGGGGGCGACGACCTCGCCTGTTGCCTTTGCGGCGCGCTCACTGCGTGCTGCTGCTGTGGTGGGAACAACAACCGCCGTCAGCCTCGTCAGCGCGTGGTCTACGTCCAACCAGTCCCGGTTCACCACCGCTCGAAATGGCGACGCTCGAGGAGATTTTAGAAACGCCAGTTCTGGCGGTTGCTTCAAGGTTGCCGGCGCGCCATTGCAGACGAGGACGAAGTGACAATCATTCGCGGATACAGTGGGACTAGTACTAGAGAGCGCCGCAGCGTGGGGAGCCCCGACACGTTCTGTTTACAGTGGGAATGAACAGGCGTTCGATTTTCAATACTCGATAATGGGTTCGTTATGTTGTATGTGGAAACGCGTGTTAAGAAACGCCTTATTCGGCAGAATTCGGGATACGAAGTGCGTTGTGATTCCATTATTGGCGGAGCTTCGTCTCTGGGTTACTCGTAAGTGATAATGCAGCATTGCCTTGGGCAGAAGCATCATAAGCCACACAAGACAACACGGGTGTGGTGTGTGTATAAGTGCGATTGATGTTGCGCCTTCTAGTTTGCAACTTCAGCAGCACTATCTACTAACCCCCTGTGCTAGTAGTGGACAACCACTTACATACATAACTTTGTCATTGTCATCTCCATTGCAGTATTACCCTGCAGGTACAGTTTAGGAGAATGTTGCCGCATACTTTCCTTTGATTTATCAATCAGTTCTAGCAAGCACGCAGTCCTTTCGGAGCTCATTGTATATTGTAGCACGCTCGCAACCTGTGTCTGCACCGTGTGTATGCTGTAAAGCCTCACCATGAATGTCGTTGCAAGACATTTGTGATGATCTCCAGCATGAAGGACAGAAGGATGCGTATTCGCGCGAGTTTCTGAAGTTAAAGTAGCTGTTCATGATATCCTCAGCTTGAGAAAAAAGAAAGGCTTGGAACGAGGAGAGATGCACAGGACCGAAAAGCAGAAAGAGTGTGGAGTAGCGTATAAGGCGAATCTGTTTAAGGAATCGACCATACGACTGGTATTCGACAAAACGAGGTACGTGCGATCTCGAACATTGCGTTATCACGGAGATGGCAGAACTGAAATTGTCATAAGCCGACTCTATGCGGTCAAAACAGTCTTACGACTCGTCTACTCCAATCCAGAATTTATACTGAATCTTGACCAAAAAGATGCTTTTTAGCATTGCAAGCTCGTCGAAAACGCAGAATTTGTGGACTTGTCTCGGTCTGATAAAATATGACGACCGCACACGAGTGGCAAGTCCTGAAGTTTCAGCCGTGGAACAGCGCGCCCGACGTGTCGTTCTGGCAGCGACTCACGTCACTTAAACTCGATAAGTTCCAGCTCGACGACCAGGCGCAGGTGAGCGAAGATCTTTACATTTTGTCGACCCATGTGGGACTCGTCTAAAGGACCTCTTACCTTATACTTGCTACATAGGAACTTACTGGATCCTTTACCCCTGGGAGGTCTATCAGTGTTCCAGCACGGTTCACCGTTGACAAAAATGCTTTTTCGAGTGCGGACGGAGCCCAAAAGAAAGTGGTTTTGGGCTTTTTTTTAAAACTCTAGATTTTCTTGTGAACTCTCATAACTTATGACAACACGCTGTGGCTATGTAGAGACACAGATCGTGCTCGTTATGAGTGGCAAGCTCCTGGAGTGCTGTTCAATACAAACACTCTCGAGGTGACGTCGCTGTCGTGGTCAAAAAAGCATCTACAGACACTGTTGCTAACTCTGTTGTGCGCTGGTATTAATTATGACAGGCTTTCAAAAAACTGGACAAGACCATAATCCTCCGGGATGCCGGTGAGAGAATCTTAGATTTAATACTCGGCACTGATGACGGCAATGACAACTTGGCAGTAGAACGCCTCAACAGCTTCGTGCTCATCACTTTTGCGGACCTCAAGACCCATTCGTTCCTCTACTGGTTTGGGTTCCCAGCCGTGGCCCCACCAACATCTTTCCAGTATCGAGCTCCACCATTATTGGTGTCCTCGGTCTTGTCCACTACCGCACAAGTTCAAGCCCTTCGTGCTTTATTGAGTCTACGTCGCGTAAACGCTGAGACTGGTGCAGTCGAAGGCAACTTTGCACCTTTTTTCGTCGTGGAGCGTCTGATTGAAAACGCGACGAGCGAGAAACTGGTGAGAGTTTTGACGGTCCAGAGCTGGAGAAGACGTGATCGTAGCAACGAGGACGTGGTTGAGACGCTTTTTGGCTTCGTCGATCCGTGTCCGCTGAAAACAAACCCCGGATGGCCTCTACGCAATTTCTTGGCGCTGCTCACTGCGCTTCCAGCTGGAAAGATGGATCGTTGCTCGCAATCGTTGAAAGTCATTTCTTTCCGTGAACACGTCCATCATCTGACGGAAGTACCGGACGACTTTGAGTGGAAGAACTCGGTCGTGTTTGAAGTCAGAAATGATCAGGCGTTCATGGCAAATGGTCGGTTGCGGCAAGAGGTACGCGTGGTGGGTTGGGAAGCCAACGTTCGCGGCAAACTGGGCCCACGAACGATGGAGCTTAGTGGTATCTTGAATCCCATTCGACTTGCGGAAACGTCAGTGGATTTGAACCTGAAGCTGATGAGATGGCGCCAGCTGCCGTCACTTGACTTGGACTTACTTGCTCAGACCAAGTGCTTGTTATTAGGAGCAGGAACGCTTGGTTGTTACACCGCAAGATGTCTACTTTCATGGGGATTTCGCCACATCACCTTTGTCGACAATTCCACAGTGAGCCATTCCAATCCCGTCCGTCAGCCTTTATTCGAGTTCCAAGACGTCGGGAAGCCCAAAGGCGAGTGTGCCGCTCAAGCGCTCAAGCGCATTTTTCCGCTGGTCAACTCGCAAGCCGTGAATCTTACAATCCCAATGGCGGGCCACGCATTGAGTAGTTTGCAATTGATGGAAGAAGCGAAAAATGGTCTTGAGACGCTGGAGCACTTGATTGATTCGCACGACGTCGTGTTCCTAGGAACGGATTCCCGGGAGAGTCGATGGCTTCCAACAGTAATTGCTGCCTCGAAAAAGAAGCTCGTTCTTAACGCCGCACTCGGGTTCGACAGCTACTTGGTGATGCGGCACGGTGTGTGCATTGAAAGCGGCTACAAGGATGCAGCAACGAAGCCATCGCTAGGCTGCTACTTTTGCAACGATATCGTGAGTCCCCGTGACTCGTTGAAAGACCGGACATTGGATCAAATGTGCACAGTGACTCGACCGGGTCTTGCCCCAATAGCTGCCGCAACTGCAGTGGAACTTGTAGTTGCTGTGCTGCACTCGCCTCAAGGCAAGTATGTGACAGCGGACAAGCCCGAGGACGGCCATGTTCCCATGGGGTTCATCCCGCATCAACTTCGCGGATTCCTGAACGCGTTTGAGACGATGGTAATCACTGGCGAAGCGTTTGACAAGTGCATTGCGTGCAGTGCCAAAGTGCTGGACGCTTATGCACTTGATGGTCCAGATTTGCTGGAAAAAGCTTGCAACTCTACGGCTTTCCTCGAAGAACTGACGGGGTTAAACCACTTGACGGAGGCTGCTGACCTGCTCATGGTCGACTTTGAAGACAGTGATGAAGACGGCGATATGATGTGATTGACACCGAGCTAGTACCTTTGCAACATTGTGTTTGAACCAGTGTTTAAACCAGGGTTTAAACCAGTGGTTAAACCAGGGTTTTGGACATTTGCAATATATTTTCCCATTGCAATATGTTGTCGTCACCTCCGGTCATTGGTGCGATCGAATCAGATCCTTTCGACACGTTGATTGGTTAAAAGAAGCAGTCGCCCTTTTGTCGGTTTTCACTTCCGGTCAGTTTAGTAATTTTGCAACTTTAGCTGATTGGTCAGCGACGTCTCTCGCAGCCCAACAGACCCCGCAAGTATAAAAAAAGCTTTTGCGCTCCAGCCTCTCCAGCCTCGTCTTGTCGTCCCCCTCTCTTCTCGCGTCCCTCACTATGTCTACTCCAACGAGCGCTGCGGACGATCAGGTGGAGCTATTCAAGGTGAAAAAGCTCATCAAGTCCCTCCAAGCGGCGCGCGGGTAAGTTCCGTGTATAGAGTGCACACTCTATCGCCTACGGTCGTGTGTTTGTGCCTGATCTAAAAAGCTCTTTTTTAGTCACAACAACAGAACTCTTTTTTTTTCGGACGATTAATAACTTACCGGTCATGTTGTGCTTTTTTTTCTCTTTTTTTTGTTATAAATTACTTGCAGCAATGGCACGAGTATGATCTCGTTAATTATCCCGCCGAAGCAGCAGATCCCATTGGTTGCAAAGATGCTGGCGGACGAAATGGGTACAGCGTCCAACATCAAGTCGCGCGTGAACCGCTTGTCGGTCCTAGGAGCCATTACGTCCACGCAGCAGCGGCTGAAGCTCTATAATAAGTGCCCCCCGAACGGCCTCATCATTTACTGCGGCACGATCATCACGGACGAAGGCAAGGAGAAGCGCGTGAACATTGACTTTGAGCCGTTTCGGCCCATTAACACGTCGCTCTACATGTGCGACAACAAGTTCCACACGGAAGCGCTGGGCGAGTTGCTGCAGGACAATGACCGCTTTGGGTTTATCGTCATGGACGGCAATGGCGCGCTCTACGGCGCTGTCTCGGGCAGCAATCGCGAGATTCTGCACAAATTTTCCGTGGATTTGCCCAAGAAACACGGTCGAGGTGGCCAATCGGCGCTGCGGTTCGCGCGGCTGCGGATGGAAAAGCGCCACAATTATGTGCGCAAAGTCGCCGAGACGGCCACGCAGCTGTTTATTACGAACGACCAGCCAAATGTGTCGAATCTGGTCTTGGCGGGGTCAGCAGACTTTAAGAACGAACTGAACGGCAGCGACCTGTTTGATAAACGGCTGGCTGCGATCGTTGTTAAGGTCGTGGACGTGTCGTACGGTGGCGAGAATGGATTCAATCAGGCGATTGAACTCGCGGCTGAGACATTGACGAACGTCAAGTTTGTCCAGGAGAAGAAACTGATTGTCAGTTATATGGAGGAAATTGCGCAGGATTCGGGCAAGTACTGCTTTGGAGTGAGTGATACGATGAAGGCGCTGGATCTAGGTGCTGTCGAGACGCTCATTTTGTGGGAAGACCTTCCGCACCACCGCTATGTGCTTCGCAACGAGGCTACTGGATCCGAGTCGGTGAAGATTCTGTCGCCATCCGAGGAGACAGTGGACTCGAACTTTGTAGACTCGGAGACGGGTGCCAAGCTAGAGACTGTGGACCGCATGCCGTTGGTGGAATGGTTTGCGAACAACTACCAACAGTTCGGTACGACGCTGGAGTTTGTCACGGCCCGTTCGCAGGAAGGCTCGCAGTTTTGCCAGGGCTTTGGTGGCATTGGCGGCATTCTCCGGTGGAAGGTGGACTTTATGGAGATGGAGTACGAGTTCGATGACGATGACGACTTTGACGAGGACGCGTTCATGTAGAAGTAATTATAGCGTGACGCTGCGCTGAGTCAGAAAGAGCTATACGGACTGTGACGCTGCGAGAAGATCGAGTGCAACCAAGAAGTGAGTTTCATTATTGCAGCGCCCAAGCAGGGACGTCGATAGATTTTGTGAGCAGGGAGCAGCACAGCGGCTGGAATAAGCGAGGAATGCAAGTCACACCTGTTACGAAGCTATTGCTCACGAGTTGGCATGCATGAACTGATGGTGTAACAAGTGCAGCACTAATCTGTTGCAGTGTTGTGCGAGCAGGAGGGAACAGAGGAAAGCTGGTACCTAAACTGTGGATGCGTGGGTCAGTGAAGCTGTTGATGGGCAAACATACAGTTTGGCTGAGGTTCTCTCGATGGAATCGGGATGTTGTCAACCTAACACTAATCTTGCACTCCCTTGCTCGACAGACAACCAGAAGTGACGACCTTTCACATCGAAGCGATGAACCAGCAGATCTTTGCGGATGTCCGATGAGCTGCAACGCAGATAGAGAGAGGTCTCTTGTGCAGCCAATTTTCCACATCCTGTGGAGTGATGTTTCACTACAGCAGAGTGGATCGCACCTTACTTCTCATCGGTTACTCGTCAACACGGTTGCAGATGTAGAGGTTGTTTGTCAGTCCTGAAAGTGATCTTTCATACGATAGTGTCTCAGTCTAATGTTACTTCTGCGCCTTAAACCAGCGCAAAGGTCCGTATCTCTTAGCACTTGCACGTACCGCATTCAATGTGGTGCATAAATCCGAGATCTGCTTAAAGCCGCGTCTCATGGTAAATTTTGAAGCTGAAGCAGCAGCAAGAATCGGTTGATGGACTGCTCGCTTCGTTCTTTTCTCACTCTTGCAACCTATTCATCATCGTTGAGATGCATGCGATGCACTTTGTATGACGTACATGAACCAGCCAGTTTCCAGTCAGATTAAGTTTGTCGTATCAGCACCGACATGGGTGCGGCATTCATAAATGCTCTTGACTTGTACTTCTTGCAACCCACTTTCTGTCTTTGCTTCAGTCTTCTACCTCGACTTCCGTCTCTTTCGATCTGCTGCGCTCGTACCAGTACAGAATCCCTTTTGCTTTGCAAAGGTGTGCCGAAGTGCTTATCGTCAAGTATAAAAAGCAGGTCGAAACCTTGAATGGTCAAGAGCTGCCGACATCCTTGCTGGTGCACACCAGTCTTTGACAGGGAAGAGCTGCATATTGTAAGCATCGAAGGCCTTTGATCCATCGGGGTTTCTCTTCATTGCCTGCTGTATAACTGCTACCCGGCGTCTTGTACATTTGATTCATATAGCAAGGTACAAGTGAGCATGAGTCTTGAGCATACGGTTTGATCATGCGAACATCCCATCGATATACGCGCTGGGCTGCTGTACCTCTGTTGTTGATACCACTTACAAACGAAGCGAGTAGCAAATTCTGGCTGAATGTCAGGTGTGTAGAATCATACCACCACAATCACTCGAAGCTTCCATTACGTATCCAGTCAGCTCGAACTCCCGCGGTGATGTTCGTGCGCCAAATCTCGAACCAAATGAAGCGCATGAGGCAGCACTTCTGCAATTGCAGAAAAGTTTTCGACAACAGCTTTCGGTTTCCCCGGCAGAGTCACAATGAGCGTCTTTTTCCGAATGCCTGCCACAGGACGAGACAGCACGGCTTTCGCTGTAATCTTGAGCGAGCTTTCGAGCATCTTTATAGGAAAGCCTGGAATTTCTTTGTCCAGCACTGCCTTGACTGCTTCTGGCGTAACATCGCGAGGGCTCAGGCCTGTGCCACCGGAAGTGAGGATCAGGTCGACAAGATCAGTGTCGGACCACTCCTTCACCACAGCTTGAATCTGATCGACTTCATCAGGCACGACCTTGGCAGACACCACCTCTATCTGGACCTTGTCAACTTGACGAAGCACACCCGCCATCGCCGGCCCGCTCATGTCTCTTACAGTACCAGCATGCACACGATCACTTATCTGCAACTCACAAAGCAGATATGCAATTACATCAGTGAATAAAAGCAGGAATCGATGGCGCACCACAAGCACGTACCGTTAACAGTCCTGCACGAAAGATCCTGTCCGGCGCGTTGTACTTTTCTGACGCAGCTGTTTGGAATGACGATTCAGCATTCTGGATGGGGGTGGACATGGCTGCTATAACATCCGTGGCATTGCCAAAGGTGCTGTCAAGCATCAAAGCTGGAACAACATGGCCTTCAGGTGCTTCAGTACCCGTCGGTAGACAAAGTAAAGCATTGGCATTGCGGCAGCTAGCAGATGGTACATCAGTATAGAGAACAACGTCAGTTGTGTACTAAACCACATACCTGCTCTCTAGTTAACCATGCGCACCTTAGTAGACGCGAACTGATTTGGCGACCGGTACTAGTGGCTAGAAATTTATGCTCTTTGCTGTCCCACATCAAGCAAGCACGATGAAACTCAGGGCGGTCTGCATCCAGCTTAATTGAGTGCGTCAGTACGGCGGAGACTGTTGCGTTGCGACACTTTGCGAGTGGAAGTCCACGAAGTCGTTGCAGCGCTGGACGAACCAGCAAATGACATGTCGTAAAAGCGCTCACGGGATTACCAGGAAGAGCAAATACCAGCTTCTTTTTGCCCCTCACATCCAGCGTCGCAAACGTTGTTGGCTTGCCAGGCTTCATCAACAACCGCCCAAAGTGGACAGTGCCGAGCTCTTCTAGAAGAGGTTTCACGTAATCGTGCTCTCCCATGCTCACACCACCGCTCGCGACTAGTACATCCACCTTCTCGAGCGCCTTCAAAACCACTTCTTTCAACTCCTCTTTCCTGTCGCTACACACTCCCAATTGCAGCGTCTTGGCACCCCACCCACGGATTAGTGCTAGCAGCATTGGGCGATTGCTATCTCGTATTTTGCCAGGCGTCGTTTCCCCCTGAAACGATTCAACAAGCTCGCTACCCGTTGAGAGAACGCCAACAACAGGTTTCCGATGGGCCACAACTTCCGTAATTCCCGCCTGCATCAAAGCAGCACAAACACATCCGTTACAATTTTCATCATGCACACACGGACATGTGCTAGCCCAAACAGACAGCATCACGCAACGAACTCACCGTTGCTAGCAGTCCAATCTCAGCAGCAGAAATGAGTGCGCGACCGTTAACGAGCACTTCACCAGGGCAAATATCCGATCCAATTGGACGGATGTTCTGGCCTGCCTTCGCAGCCTTCAAAATCGTCACGGCCACTTCAGTCTTCGCCTCATGGTCGTCTCCACTGCTCGTGTCTTCAATTTTCACGACTGCATCGGCCCCGTCTGGAACTGGGCATCCCGTCGCGACGTACGACACTTGTCCAGGTTCAAGTGTCCTCAGGGGCGTGTCCCCCGCTGCAATACGTTCCACAACTGAAAACTGCAGCATAGAAAAAAAAAAGTGTTCCCGAAACAAAAAAAAAGTTATTTCCGTAAAGTCTCGCTTTGTGTTCCCAGCCAGCGAACACATTCGCAATGGACACGAACGCACAGTCCCTTCTCCATCCGCAGCAATGACTGCGTATCCATCCATAGAACTCGCTCGAAACGGCGGTAACGCTTCCTGCAAGAAAGTCAATTGTTTGGTAGCGATTGATTAGAAAATGGTTTTTTCCAATTTGCTTGATATATAAAGCAGAAACCCCATCACCCACGGTGCTGCGCACAGACTCGGCCAGCACAAAGCCGTCAGCTTCGTGGGCCTCCAAGCGCAGAACGTCCAGTGGCAGCGATTCCTGCAACACTATATCGGCAGCATCGTCCACGGACATCATGCCGTACGCGCTCTGCCGCCGCTCGGCAGAAACGACCACGTCCCCGCCGCCACAGTCGCACATAGGTCGTTGGATTGCGTTGACAAAGTCGAAAGAGAGTTTTTATATAATGATTATTTACAGCTTTTTACTGCAGCTTGTCCCGTTGTCAATAGGTAAAATAGTGTTTCTCCCCCCCCAAAGTCGGTCGCAGAAGACGAGATTAGAGCGACACTCTAGGGTGGTTAAACTGCAGCTTTATAAACGATTTAGGGGGATAAATATTCACCCACACGCACACACCCTAAAGTGATATTCATGATGTACCCGTCGGTGATTGGCTAACACGTAAAAAAACACTGATCCCACTATTTTTAGCGTTTGCACGCGTATTTCAAGCCCCGGCTAAACCGGTATGCCCATCCTTAACACGTACAAATACAACGTCCTAAATTAAGATAGTGAGCAAGCTCTGGAGCTCACCCTTTGATATAAGTAATTCAGTTGAAAGAACTGACTCGAATTTGGTATAATTACGCACCCTTTTTCTGGTGGTTGGCGACTGCGGGATAAGACGTGCTCTGTGTGCTAATTAATAAATGTATGGACGAGCGTAAGAACTACTCGTTGGTGTTGGAAATCTTTCAAGGAGGTGATTATGAGATCCGATAGAGGGCAGATGATTCTGCTTGGTAACGACATCAACCACGAAGTGCGCGTGGCAACATACGATTGATGCATACAAAGAAATGTCAAATCGAGGGAGCTCCCTCAAGCCACCGACACAGATAGGTGGCCATGGATTCCTACTTTTACAATATATTCAGTAATTATTTGAATAGCATGACTTTGCATCTACTATAAGCAGGAGGTGCGAGATTTTCGCCGTCCATACAATCGAATATTTACTGTTGAGCTCTCAATTCACCCTTGATCACTTTTGAGCCAATCACATGTAGGTTTTGGTACGTGCGTGTGTGACAAAAACGCTACGCCATCGCAGATAGTGACAAGATAAAGATCAAACGGGTAACTTTAAACTTTATTTCTTAGATTTATCGGTAATAAACCTCATTCAATTGCCGAAACTAAGGTAAGCTCATTCGCATAGTAATCTTCAGTATATTAAAGATTGATGAATGGTACACCAACCTGTCAATAATGAATGACTGAGGATATTGACGACATCAATTATGCCTACGATAAAGAAGACGATGACACATTTTTACTATTTGAAGTACAGCACCGAGCGTAAATTTTTTGAAGCACATCACGCATCTGAACCTTTTTCCTGTCCACGTGCATGTTACCAGAACAGCATCCTTGACTGCCATCACTTTGACCATAGCTGACAAGTCCTCGGTCGTCTTCGCTTAGTTGTGGTTCTACTTCTAGCCTATTGGAATTATCGGGCATTGCATTGTAGTGACGGTAGCTAGTTTTTTGTCGATAATGGCATGGATAGTCGTATTGTGCACCTTAGAATGAAGCAAAACCAGCCGAGTAAACCGTACCTAAGATAGGAGAGCAAGCTCTGGAGCTCGCCCCTTAAAGTAAATAATTTAATTTAGCAAACTGAATTAAGTTGTGACACACTGTACAAGTAGTCACTGAAGAATGTGTACGATGCTGTTATTGTCTGATTGAAGCGGCATCGTATAATCAAGCAACGCGATCAGCCTTTGCTTATGAGCGTCCAGCATTTGCGTATGTAATCACATTTATCTTTGATCGAATGCAAGGCAATCACAGGCGTGTGCCACAGTAGTGACTTATCCAAAGAGTGGCTTTGGATGTGCCCATACACCTACTGTATGAGAGGGGACAGGCTAGATCGTACGCAGTGCGTGCGAGGTTTACTTGACCGCGTCATTTACCGACACAGGCAGATAAGTACGATCGATTTAGAGGTATGGCATTTACCCTTGAGCACAGTCACTACCAGCTTCTCCCTTCAGGCTCGCAATTGATAGTTCGTTATTAATATGATGATGATGGCCTACGCAAGTTACTTCTCGTGCACCTCGTAATTAAGTATGCGACTTGCAAAAATTTGTTTTTTGAAGTCAAAGCAGCTGTCCTCATGACTGTCAGAGCGGTAAGCTTGCAAACAGCTTCGTTTGCAACACCTTAATTGAAGCAGAGCTACACAGCTCCTTAAGTCAGAAGAGGAAGACTTAGTGCTCATTGATCGATATTCGTTCTAAAGAACTGGACTCCATGAGTCAAAAAGCGGAAAGCGTGAGGTCCCTGTTCCAGAGGACCAAACGATTCAGTAAATCTACAGCACTTAGTGCTCAAGAGTAGCGACTTCAGGGAGGTGTTGCTAACTCTAATGATCTACGATCAGAGACGCCTCGCAAGGTACGTGTCGTAGACAAGATCAAAAGGGGAGCTGAACTTTATTTACGTTGAACTCTATAGAATATCTTCATCGAAACACCACCTAATCTAGGCACTCACATCCTCATTCATATCGTTAGGATCTTTTTTATCTTGTGGCTGGCACCCGTCAGCCCCTATAAACCGATAAGATATTCTATATCTCTTTCAGTAGGATACCATACCGTGTATCTCAGACATATAGTGTACCGAGTACCCTACGATGCGTAACCCCTTTCAATAATCATGACAAAGGTGTGGTGCGCGCATACAAGAGAGTTCAGTAAAGTCTTTTTCATAGTGACTGCATGATGTGAAAGTGCGGGAAAAAACGATCTGTAGCAAACGACAATAAAGAAGCAAGATGTAAGTGCATGGGCAATCAGACGGTGTCATGTTTCCAACCTTTTCCTGCTTGTCCAGTAACCCATTGACCTTTTTGGTTGTTGTCGACACATGGTCTATTTACACGGGAATACCTACATGCAAGATCTCTAGTATTATCGTAGCCAAGCAAGCAGCTCCGGTGGCAGGCCAGGAACTCCTCCAGGACGCCGGGCGACCCGCAAGGGTTGTGCCCGAGTAATTTAATGCATGCAAACAGCATGGCCACCATGGATAGCCGACAACCTTCTTCGATGCTCTCGAATTGCGATCGCCCTATGTTGTCGAAGGCGGGGGGGGGCACAAGCTTGTCATGCTCCGGTCGCTTTTACACATGGTCATGATAGTGCTTTACCAGGTTTGCAATTACTGCTTTCTCGACGCCTGCCTCTTGTAGGTCCTTCCTAAGTGCGCCGAGATCAGATATCCCACGAGCTTGCCACGCATTAAACACAGCTGCTCTCTGATCTTCAAATTCCACTCCTCCTTTGCTGATCTTCTTTAGATGTGATGGAATCTTGCTGCGTTTGACATGGGCTAACTTACTGAAATCCCGTACTAATCCCCGTGCGTGCTTTATTCGCTCCCGCTTCTGCGCCGACGTCAACTTCTTCCCCATCACCGTCTTCTTCTTCTGCAATTCGCTTGCAAGTTCCATTATCGTCATTGTTTGCGGCTTTTCGGGTACCTTGACCGATGAACTCCGGCTAGTGGACCCCAAGCCCTTGACCCACGCAAAGAATCGCGTGAACATCCTCTCTTCGTCGAGATTGGGCTTCACGTGGACGAAACCCCGTTCTTCGCTACGACCGGTATCGACAGCAGCGCGCAACGAGGCGTTCCAAGTCGTCGTCGTCGTCGCTGTTGTCCTGGTAACCGCATCGCCAAGTACAAGCAGCGCGACTGCTGCGCTAAGTAGCAGCTTGCCAGGCGGGCGCATCTGAGCGGAAGAGACTGGACTGGAAGTGAACCCTTGGCTGCAAATTGCGGAATGAAAGTACACGGAGCTCGCAGGTCCAGACACTTTGGCTCTTGACGAACGGACGTTCCGAGCCTGTAGACCAGCTGGTGCGAGAGAACGACGCGCCTGTGCTATGCCAGACATGCCATCGCAAAGATTCGACACAACAGCACGACACGACTCTCTTTCTGGACAGTAGAGTAGTCAGGTACAGTCCTAAGTTGACGGCCGGAGCTCGAGTGCAGTCTCAACAGACCCACGACAACGGCGTCTCGACAAGGTGATCGATACCCTGGCGTGCATTCGGTGTGAACAACCTCAAAGCTGCCTTGGCTCGAAGTGACACTGGAGCGTGTTGAGTGCGAGCAGAAGAAGAAGAAGAAGAACATGCTCCCAAGTCTACAGTTCGTGACAGGTTGTTGTGACAGATCTTGTCTCCTGCTATAGCGTCGTGTGGTTGTCAAACGCATGCTTATCAAACCCGTCGAGGTGCTCTATAGCACGACCGTAGAGCATGTGTAAGTCTGGCTACCAACCTCATCTACCCGATGCACCACGAGAATACCGAGCCTAGGATAACCTACGGAGCCAGCACTCTTGCGTACTGATGTGACCAGCGGGACATGTCGCGGGATGGCTAAACAAACAACTGACCGCCTGGCTTCTCGCTATCGTGAAGTCGCGCTGCAGAATTCGTGCAGCGGCAGGCATCGCAGCAAACTGCTACGCATTTGTTCCCGCAAAAAAACCTCTGCACCTGCACGTGCTATCTTTTCCTCTTGTGCTTGGCTGGAAGTATCGAGATTGCGTCGCGACGGGCGTGACAGTGAGTAGTAACGTGGCGACGTCAAGGATGCATTTGTATAGTCCGATACAGCATGTGACCAGGAGGAATCGGACGAGAAGTGGCGCTGAACGACCGAGAAAGAGCCAGAAGTGCGCGTAAGCATGTAGAGGACACTTTCAGAATGCACTTGCGCACGAGTCAACGTCGCTCACGTTCTTCACTCAAGACACAGGTCAGAGATAGAACATCGTGTACGCTCCGAGGTCAGAGATCTCTAGATCGACTCGCCAAAGCTCTTTCGTCCCGGTAGATGGCACAAGTGTCTGGATAGATCACTCTTCCTCGCACATCGGAAGAATCAATAGAGCCGGAATAGGTTGAACCGCAGGTAGCGAACCCACGTCGAGTGAAGTCGCTCGTCTGCATCGCGTTCGTTCGTACAGTGCAACAGAAACATGACGAAGCAGTGGGATGAGCGCACCTCACTTATCGCGAGCCTTGTTTTTCTCGTCCAGTTTTTTCCAGCTTCATGTGTACTAGTAATAGAGAGACTCGGGTAGAATGTCCCGGTGACATCAAGGAACAGATTTGATCTGCATGGCTAGCATCACGTGACGGTACTAATTGATTCAGACAATGGGGTCGGAAGGCTGCAGACATCCTCGCGCCCAGCTTCCACATGTCAGCTCTGTTTGCCTCTTTCCGACGCAAACGCCGCTAAATGACCAATTGCTCCTACCTTTCACCTTCCCCGCCTTCTTCTCTGCATCCTCTGCTCGATGGGACGTCAACACCTCGATGAAGTACAGTCCCTGAGTGGACGGGATGGCATACATACACCATGCCCCAAGGACGCCGTAAAACATCAGCGGACGAAAGCTGAGCTGAGGTCGATAGCGCAGCTCTGTTTTGATGTTCAAGTAGTTGTGGACGCCTTCTTGCTGGGCTTAGTTGCCTGTGCGTCCCGGCCCCACTATCTAAGCGGCGCTTCGATCTGTCGGGACCAGGGATGGAATCTGAGGCGTTTGTGTTTATGATCAGGATAGCTTTCTACCGTCCTGTACGAGATGATAAATGGAGGTCGAGCACTTTGTAGTCACCCAGTGTAAAGTCTTCTTGTTCAGGAAGTATCTCTGTATCGGGTGTAGAACGCATCACGGTAGTATGGTGATCTGCATCGAGATGATCTGGCAATATTTCCGCCTCAAACGGAGTCGTACCGGCTTCATAGAAGTCGGACGTTTCCAGAAAATCATGACTAGAACCGGCTCAATAAGGATGCCAACCGCACAAACGTCCGCGTTGCTTTATGTTACCATGATGCGAATCAAGGACATTTGCATCATTACCACTTGCTGTGCTAGTTACGGGCATTTCGCGCTCCTGCTCAATGTTGCGTACACTTTCCTATTGCTTTCGATTGGTTGTGTCGATAACGAAGCTACGGAGTGAGCTGTACAGACTTGAATCCACAACACCTGCAGTTGATTTACGACGGTATCGTCCCAAATGTTCATCTTAAACCGTCTATTTAATTGTCGAAACATGTTGCTTACCTACCCGAACTCGCAGTAAAATATGTACACACTGACCATTTTGCATTCCTTCGTGCACTGGCCAATACCAAAAGAACGAGCGTACCTTACTCTAGCATACCATCACACGCGGGCTGCAAATCAGTAGTCTACAACGCGACTGACTCACCCGGTTCCTTATTCAGCAAGCGTGAACCTGCGACCACTGGTGGTTTGAGTTCGCACTTGTTGTCCAGCAAATGAAGATACTTTGCTCGCAACGGTGTTGGCTTGCTGAGCACGAGCTCAATCTGTGCCAACTCCTTTCTCGCCTGACGTAACTCCTCCGTGAGAGTATCGTACCGGTCTTGGTCAAACTTCGCCTTGGCTATCTGCTTCTGCAGACGTCGAGTGTGTACGTAGTGATAGATGTTTTCGTACTCGTATTCCTGATTCGTGACACTCCACCACGCATAGCCAACGACAGAGACACCAAAGCCCGTAAAATACGTCACCGGCTCCATGATATCCCAAGAAAAGTGAATAAACGACAGCCAGAAGTAAAGCCCGAAACCTCCGACGAGCGATGTTGACAGTCCGTAGGCAATGACATCTGCTTGCTGCGTCGCAGTGTACTCGAGCTCCTGCCGCAAATGGACTAGTGCCACATGTTCCGGTGTCAGCGCCCGGATCTTTTCCAGCAGTGCCGCCCGGTGCTGTTCAAAAAGCTGCGACGACATTGGCGACAGCCCAATGGATTCCAAGTACGAGTCGAGAATGCTGCGCGGCTGCAAAAACACGGACTGCGTCAAGTCTTTATCGTCCGACTTGCCAAAGAAGAAGACAAGTCCTGTCTGATGAAAAGCCTGCAGCACGTCCAGCGCTTGTTTCTTAGGAATGCCTCGTTCCTGACACATTTGCACAAATTCCCAGTAGCTGATTTTCCATTTACCCAGTCTTTCCAGGTCGCTACGGAGCATAATGATGGCAGCTTTTTGCGCCACCGAGCGGATGTCCAAGTCCCCATCATCAGAAAGGCTGAGGTACGCACTTCCTGTAAATACAGGCGCGCGTACAGGTAGGACGTGGTCGTTCAGCACCAGCTCAAAGTCGTCCGTCAAGACTTTTTGCAACGTTTCGGTCGGTGCAAACACTTTCCCTCGGGTCGAGCGGATCGCTACACTTTGCACGGACTTGTCTTCAGCTTCAATCTGACTGATCATATCCCCGACCGTGGTGTCTGTACCAGCAGCAAATAACGCACACAACATGGGTTATATATCATGGCACAAGACGACAAAACAAGCGCTTTTTTTACGATCCGTTCGGTTCGCCCAACTCATAAAAATGATCAAATAAAAATACCCAGTGGAACACTAAAGGCCCTCTCTTCGTCAAAGCCATGCAGAGGTAGAGGGACCGCTAATGAGCACGTCCCGTCGTGGTACTTGAGTGCAATAGCGCGTGCATTGTGATACCGAAAGGAAGAAAAGCTCGAAACGAATGGCCAGAGACTGCCAGACGCAAAGCTGGATGGATAGACGGGACACGAGAGCCGGTGGGTACATGCTGCGCCCGAGAGGACCCGACGATACCACATGAGAAGCCGTGAGACTTAATGGACGCCTAGAACGTAGTGAGACCGTATGACGGAAGCTCACCAGATCTACCGTCGAGCGGGTGGTGCTATCCAGTAGCTGGAAAAGAATACCTAAGCGCACATGGATCAGATCTTTTTATGCTTTTTTGTAGCTAATTAGCTGAATAGAGTCAGTAGAATTGGAGGCCGAAAATGTATTCAGTGCGCTCGAGTCGCACGTTACGTACCAGGTCTAGCGTCTTGTGGAAAAAGTAAGGATCTGGCTGGTAGTTGATGTTCCAATTGAAGCTGGAAGAGTTCTGAAGGCATGCCGCTCGTGGGTTGAATAGCCGTTAGGAGTATTGTACTTCGACCCTTTTGAGTCGCTTGTGGGCAACACATAGGATGGCCGTGCTGGTCGTAGTTTTCAATCTTTTTTTCTCATGACGGTCTGTCTGCAGCGTCTGTATGTGGTTGCGTTGAGAAGTTGCAAGTTTACAGCTTCTCTTGTGGCGGGTAGTGGTAGAGCTCACGAGAGACTTCATCTCTGCTTTATCGATGCATTTCTTTGCATTACTTGTTGCCAATAGATGAATGTGGCTGACCCGAAAGGGCACAATGCTGCCTGCGACTCTATAGAATCTGCTTAATCGGCTTCATACGATTTAGATCCTAATTCGCGGCCATCACATGTGCATGTTGCCCACTTACAATGTCGCTTCGTCGTTTCGGCTCCTGTTGACGAAATACAGACGAAGCTGGCAGGAGTTTAGCACAGCCGCTTGGACAATCACACACACCCCTCGGTTCAGTGACATGACGGCTCATTTTGCTTTTTTTTCTTGCTCGTTTTTTCCTCGTTTTCGCCGTTTTCGATATTGTCGAAAATGATAGAAGAAGAGGAATGGGCCAACGAGCAAGAGGCGAACCGCAAACCTGGTCAGAAGCACCCAACGCCTTCGCCTGTACGTAAAGTAGACGAGAGGATCTGCGGTTAAGCACTGATTGCTGAAAAAAAAGTTGATATTCAATGACTTTTTTTCCATGAACTCGGTTTTAGGGGTTCGCTGATCGGGTTTTCTACGAGAGTCTGTTGCAGCAGCGGCCAGCCAGTCGCATGGCACAGAAGTGGTGTCTCGAGTATGGCGTACTTAAGTGGGCTGAGGCTGAGGCCCTCTGTAAGAAAACGGGCGTGAGTGCTGTAAGTTGATGATCTTGGAAACACAAGACTTTTTTATTTCGTCAGTCGTTATTTTATAAAAAACATAATTGTGGGTTTTTACCTTGGATTATATTACAGCACGTGGCGGGGACTAGCAAGTCGGTAGTCAAAGTCAAGAAGCAAAAGAAGACGGCGAGTGCTGCTGGCATTCGTCGGGTTTGTGATGAAGAAATTGCTGCTGAAGCCATGGAGATCTCGAAACATGGTCAGGAAGGGCTCGGACGAGGAGCTCTCTAGAGGAGAATACTTGATATTTCTGTCGCTCGTTCGCGTACCGAAGAAACAGGTAGAAGATGGAGACTATTTTCTGGTCAACAAGAGTGGTGCAGACAAAGTCGATCTGGCGGGAAGAGGCTAATTAACGCTTGAGAGTGTATAACAAGTTGCGGCTGACGTTCCCTTTCTGCCTGTTGTTGTCGTCAGAAAAAATTGGCTGAGAATGACGATCTTCTGAAGCCAGCTGGATCGCTTTCTTGTCTTTCAGTGTGTTCTTGGGGTTTCGTCATTTGGTGTGGCTTCGATACTCCTCCTTACAGGACGTTTGTCCCGTTAGGACATGGTTTCAGCAAAAGTCGACTCTGTCGCGCGCGATTCAAGCTCAAAAGTCGATCACTAGGGACCTCGCCACTGGCACAAACCTGACCGTAGCAATAGTTCATAAGCCGTTTGCTTTGAGTGATGTATCGCTGCTACGTGCTTTTGATGAGGAAAATGTGGTGATGAATAGCGAGAACGACACAAGGATTGCCTGGAAAGGTGGGGCAAGAGGATTTCACGGACCAACGCCGATGCGAATCTTACTACGATGATAGTGAAGAACCGCTAGCCAGACCTTGTCCTACGTGCTCGCTATTGGAAGTCGATGTATTGTCAGCAGGTTGCAACTGTTCTGTCACACACGACAACCGCCAGGTAGTGGTCGTCCAGCACGCAAAAAAAAAGCTGCAAAACGTACGATGGCCGATCGCCACGGTGTGTGGCAGGTTTTGCGTAGGACCAAGCTGCACGGAAGCTTGCCGTGCAGGATACAAGCGGATGGTCATGAGAACGGGAACAAGTTACCGCGTTATGGTGTGAGGTACTGGAAAGTTCTGCTTACGTGATTTATGTCGGTAGTGTGCGACAATCAGGAAGTCGCGTTGTCACTGCGTTGTGTATTGACCACCTGTGTGATGCCGAAGGTATCAAATGCTTGAGAAATTGTCAAATGTGATCTCATCACACCCGTGGCTGTGAACCGATGCCGAAAGCCGTAACTTGTTGGGAACCGTCTGCTGTGAAGCTTTCATTGGATCCACTTGTTACACCGCTAGCTCTCACGTGTGTTTCTTGACGTTTGGTCTCTCTCCGACGCTATTCAGCAAGTAGCCATCTGTCGGATTCTCCTGTTGTGTTGCGGTGTCCTCCTTCTGCTTGCAAATCGGAGCTATGCCATGCGCGACTTTAAACGCTTCATCTTGCAGAGATCGCTGAACGCATTGACAGGCTTATCATCGACTGTCGCTTCGACATCATCACGAACCTTGTTCGATTATACGCGATCCGGGATGTAAAATACGACCACAGTCGGTCACCAGCTCTTCGGCACTTGATGGGGTAAAGCGGCTTGTTTGTCGGCCGTTTTGCCAGTTCGAACTAGACTAAGTCCAGTCAAACCTTTACGCACTCAACTGGCAGATATTGGTGCCCGGTGTAACAGCGCGAAATGATTGCGCACGAATTGTCGAAGATCCGATACCATGACAAAACCGCCGTGTGTCAACTTCGGCCCAGTTTGTAGGACAACCCGACAGCACGTTTTAATGACGCGAAAGCGTGGAAGAGTAACGTAGCGATCTTGAGGTTATCCGCCACTCATGTCTCGTCAGTAGCAATTCCTGTCCACCAAGTCACTGACAGACCTCGCTATCGTCTTTCACTAACTTCTGACAACATCCGCACATCCGGCACAAGTGAATTTGCCACGGCAGATTACACCGAAAAAACAGGTCCAGCCTTACGTGTTTTACCAGATCAACAAGCGACAAGCCAGCCAACAAAGCGAGTCATTGCATCACCTATGGCAGGCTACTTGCCTTCATTGCAAAGCATTGCGATAGCAGCGGCAACTTCCCTACCCTTGCCAGAAACATCGCACCATGACGGATCTCTGGCAAGATCTTATGCCTCGTGTGTCGTCCGAGTGCACACGAAACACGGCATCAAGACTTTGTCCTTCAACATTCTGGCCGAGCTATTCGGATTCACCGCCAAAAAAGCTGCTGACAAAATTGGAATTAGCAGCCGAACGCTTATTCGCGTGTGCCGCTCGTTGGGGATCCGACGCTGGCCGTACCTAGGCTTCCGAAGCGAGAAGAACGTCAATCGGATCCGTCAGGAGGCCATAGGAAACCTACGACGCAAGCTCGAACAAGACCGTGAGTCATTGACCACGACAGAGCTTCACCCCGACGCTCCCAGTCTTATTCGCAACGCCAGCGCTAAACGTCTGCTACGAGTGAAGATACCTCAGCGAGACCTTCAGCCACTAGAGGAAGCAGCACCATCCAAGATGCGCGTTGTGCGCACAAGTTCCTGGTGCTGTTCTCCAACACTCTCGGCTACCACCACAAACGTTTCTGATGATGGTGATGAACGCATGTCTGGGTCCAATGGTAGCGATTTTACGACCAAAGTATGGACGCCTCCGCAAGCTACATCAAGCTCCTTCGATCCTATCACGTCTACAGCACCGTCGTTGACAATACCAGCGACACTACACGGCTTCATTCTCGACCCGCAGCGTCCCAGTATTGGCAAAAAGCCAGGCATCCCCGTCTCAACTGTGAGTCCGTGTTCAAGGAATACGCAATGGATAGCGCCAAGTATTTGCACGCAAGCTGACACTGTTTCCAGGCAGGCGCCGTCACCTATGCCACCCTTGAACTTGCTCGTTGACGCGTCTATCCTCGGTGGCTATAAGGGTCAGATGTTAATGCGGCCCATGAACCAGGGTAGCACCCTTTGGCAGCAGCAGCTCCACCCTCGTACAATGTCAATGCAGGACATCCTGACGTACTCCTAAACATGTGACGTCCGCACCCTCTAGTACTTGTGTAAGGGTCTATCTAGTAGACCACAAAAAGATTGCAGTTCACTAACAACTTGGTTTCAACATGCCATGCTCACCATCGCTTTCTACGAATACGATCGACTACCGCCTCCAGTGCCTGGCGGACACTGATAATCCTGCGGCAGCATGTAGTTTTGGAGCGCACTAAAGCAATACTGCGCTTTACCGATGTTCTTTCTCGCATTCTCACGACGAACTCCGTGTGTCCGGAGCAAGTTCGTAAATACTTCCACCTCATCCGCAACAAGACCATGTGAACGAACCAGAAGGTTCGCTTCTTCAAGCGTGATCGACATTGACGTACGATCCTTGGCCGACTTACACATCGTCACGCGGCCGCCACCAACAGAACGAGCAATGGATGACGACAAACTCAGGATCGCCATGCGCTTCGACCGGCCTGATAGTTGAATACAGGTCTTGAGAGCTGTCAGTGAGGTCTGAATTCGACCAAGGTCTTCGGTGTCGTATATCGGAGTCGATGTTTGATCGCGCATTTGTTTCTTGGAGACCCAGCTAGCAAATTCATTGATGTACGCCTCCAACTCGACCACATTCTCAGCATTAATCTCTTTCTGCAACGAGTCCTTGCCCACAGTGTTTGCAACCGTCTGCATTTCGTTCATTCCCTGCGAGAAGATCACTGGTACGACTCGAATGGGCTTCTGAAACAAAAACTTTGCGCGCATTCTTTCCTCCGGGGTTGAGAGCGGCAAGTAAATAGCCCCCGATACTGCATCCTGTCCCGGAACTCGGTGCATGCTACGCTCAGGGAACTCACTTGCACGACGTGTAATGATCGGAAGCTCGATCGCGATGCCTGATGGTCCTGAAGTAATAGATACACGGAATGCTGCTGCACGCGGAGACTTCACTGGTCGTAACTTAATGTGGACTCTCCCCAGCTCCTTGACGGCTGTCTCAGTATCACCCAGCATTCCGAGCTCGTTACCGTACGTTGACAGCAAACTCTCCACAGAGAACAAAAAGCCGACCCTCGTAAGCATTTCGAGGTAGTCAATACCGCAGCAAGCTTTTAGTGGATTGGGACCAAAATCCCCGTGATCGTGTGTATGGACGTAAAGGGTTTGCTGAAAACACGTGACTAGAGCACTCATGGCCTGACAAAACGCCACCTCGAGTCGACGCTCAACGTCCCACTTCAGCTCGTTATATTTGCGCTCCAACGCGTCTATTGTAAGATCAGAACTCTCCTGCGCTGCCTTCACTAAGCGTCCATGAAGTCGCTCCAATTCTTCACGCATCTGGCGCACGCCACCACTCTTAAACCCGTACACATGCGCTGCAAAAGCTCCTACCGTCGTTGTACCATACATTCGATGCTTGTAAAATGGAGCATTACCACTAGCGTTTGTACTACTGATAATCGGCACTTTAGCCTGCTCCAAGTCCGATTTTGGAACTTGTGGCAATGAACAGCATTCACTGCTCGGTACTGCAAGCTTCAACCCATCATCCAAGCGACCAACCATTATGTCGGCTACAATGTCAATTGCATCGGATGCGTCAATCTTTCTGTCCCCTCCGTACATATTCTGAAACTCTTCTTCAGTGATTCCCATTGCTACAATGGTTTCGGCTAGCTTCCGTTGTTCGGAAGTGACTGCAAAATCTTGGTCTGTGACTCCCTTGTTCACGATTGTTGCCGCCGAATCGAACGAAATTACACGCCGACGGAGCGCATCAACGGGTTCGAGTGGTGACTCCTCGATCAAGTAAGGCGAAGCGATATCTTCTGTATCATTTTCGTCGTCATCAATAAATTTCACAGAATCGAGATAATTCTCTTGTCCGTGCATGCTTGATTGCCTCGACATGTGCGAAGGAGACGACACGAGCGTCCCGACAAATGAGTTCACAAGATGAGCGTAGCGCGCTGCACTTGTTTGGTCTCCAAAGTGTACGTCTTTTTCTGACGTCGGGGCTGCATTGCCCACCGTCATCAATTGTTGGTGAAGGTTTAGTGCCAGGAAACGTAGGTCTGCGTCTGCCTTCATCGTGCTTGGCTTAAAGGTGAGTCCGGCATGTTGAGTGGCTCCGTACCGCAAGATCGAGTCCTCTACCTCCGAGATATATTGCTCCATAGTTTTGACAAGCTCCAGCCGCCATTTCCGTTTTTTTCGTTCAATAACATCGTCGTGAATATGTATGATCATTTCAGAGAGCATTCCGATGCTGTTTGCTGGCCTCGTCCGATTTTCTAGTGCAGGTGAAGAGCTCAATCCAGAAGCAACCGATTGGAAGGATCCCACGGTTTCCCACGCTTGCATGGCATGATCGGTTTCGTTTTCTTGCACCGCACCAAGTGCCCTGGGGGAAGTAGGGATAACCAACGGCAGTGAATAGCTGGCAACAGTCGGGGTCGAAAGCTGGCTAGACGGAGTGGACGGAGCACTCTCATTGCCATCCTCAAGCGCAATTTCACGCTTTAGTAAATCAAGTTTCACCAGCAAATCGGACAGTATCAACTGGAGAAGTTGATAAGGTACTTCCCAAGTATACACACTTTCAATCAACTCTTCTTCGACCAGCATCTTGCCCTGAGCGCGTTGAGATGTGGACGCAAGATCAATCATCTGCTGAGCTATCTCGGAATAAGCCGAGTCATCACCTGGTGCGATATCATCAACGTCGGTACCTTTCACCGCGATATACATGAAAGAGCGAGTGATGGCGCCGGAGAACACCCCTGCATAAAGTCCTTTGACTTCTGCTTCACAGCGAACAACGATTTCACCCGAAGATCGAGTCCGTGACAAAGGCGAGTAGAGTGGGAAAATAGACGCACGTCCAATCACGGGTGCTGCGTCCATCATGAACGACGACATCGGCACAAGCGGGTCGCCAACCAGCCACTGACTGTTCAAGTCCGCAAGCGAGTTAGGTGCTCGAACGGAATATACGGATGCCCGGAGCACATCCTGTGCGCGCACTTCCACTACGAGCATCATATGAAAACACGGGTCTTCTGAATGCGAGATTTCTGTGCGTCCGATCTCCGCGACCACTGCACCTGTGTCAGCATGCACCAAATGCAGCACCACAAACGATGAAGCTCTTACCGACGGCTTCGAAGGAAGCGTCAGGTTAAAGCACTGAAACGACAGCCATACACAGGGCGTAAATGATCCTAGCCTCATCGACGCATCGTCAGGGACACTTCCCAATTGCTTGGAATGTCTGTCACACTCGACGGGCGAGCCAAATGCACTGCCTGTCGAATCCTGTCGGTCCATTGGCTGCTGGTCTCGATTGCCACCGCCCAAGTGTTGACGTACCATCAGCTCCAGCTGTCGTCGTGCCCGATCAAGCACGCCAATGCCGAGCCCCAGCGACAGTGGACTCGGTCGTCGTCCAACGGGTAAGTACCCGGCCGTCGACGTGGCTGTGCTGCCTACTCGATGGACGAGGTTCTTCGCTGCCACAAACAGCGGTCGGGGCACGACTTCCTGTTCCAATAATGGCGTCGTCTCGGACGCTATGACTCGTTCATTGTGGAAGCTCACGGTTCGTCGAGACGGGATCTCGAGCGTCGGCTCGACTTCCCACATGAGCACTAGAAACAACGCACAAGGCACGATCTCGGGGATCGCATAGCCCACGACGACGCACACGTCCGGGTTGTAAATGTGGCCACAGCCTTGATGCGAGAACGGTCGCTGGATGTAAATGAGCGTCCGCAGCAGAAACAGCGCCGAGCACGTGCCCATGACGAGCACGGTAAAGCGCAGCGCGCGCGTGAGTTTCTTCTCCACGCGCTCGTCAAGGCGGCGACGGAGTCCGTCCCCCGACGGCTTGAGCACGCGCGCCACGCGGAGCCGCATCTGCCACGTCGAGTAGACGAGCCCGAGCGAGCTGACAAAGCTCCCAGTGGCAATGAAAAGTACCGGTAAGACACCGGTATAGAGCGTCGCGCGATCGAGAGCCGCGTGCGCGTGCTGCGCTTGGGCGACTTTGGCTTCATGGAGGACCGAGAGGCCCAAGACCGTGGCGTAAAAGAGCCCGTTCGCGACAATGAAGGCGACCCAGATCCGGCGCGAGCGGCGCGAGATCTTGGGGTTCGCAATGTCGATCCACAGCAGCGTCTGGAACAGCACGAGCGAGAAGAAGAGACAGAGCGCAGCGCGGTTCAGCAAGTTGCGCGCCACGCCGTGGCTTAAGAGCGACGCGGCGCGCGTGAGTGCAAAAAGGACCATGAGGCGCAAAAACGTGCGGTTAGGGGGAAACGCAGACGAGACGGGGCGCCAGGAAAACAGCGAGCGCGCGCCGCGACAGGCCGCGACGAGCGCGAGCGCCACGTACAGCGCGACGCACAGGAGCTCGAGCGCTGCGGACGCGAGGGGGAGGAACACGAGCCCGTCGTCGTCGGCAGCGGCGTCAGCAGCGGCGGTGGCAGCAAGGTGGGAGGCAGTGGGTCGAGACGAGGCGGCGATCATTCACGCCCATATGCCGCGCGCTCGGACAAGTGAGTGCGGAATGCGGCAAGGAAAAGGAAACGAAAGGGATTGACGTGGGACAGAGATCGCGGGGGGCACTTGTGGCTGGACAGACGGACACACCGGTGTCGGTGCATGGAACAGTTTGATGTTGGACGGATGAAGATTGTGGGTCGGTGGGTGCTTGGGACACTTGTGTGTGGACAGACGAAGCGCGGTGTTTCGCGATCTTGGGACAGTTGACTTGGGACGGAAGAAAAACGAGGTTGCTTTCTTGGGACATGTGACCGTGGACAAACGGATACACACTGACAGTCAGATGTCCTAATGAGATAACAGCTGGGATCAGTTCTTTTTGGTCTCGCAGTTTTGCGTCTCATTAGGACCGCTAAAAGAATCGAATACCGCGACGGAAGTAGAGTTGCGCAGTTCCTGCAGGAATATTAGAAAGCAGGCTTCGATTACTGCGATATGGCCATCAAGACCGGTTTTTGACGCCTTTATCGGGTATCAAGCTTAGTGTGAATTTTAGTGAGATACAAAACAAAAGATATTGGGCATTGCCGGTTACTTTATATCGCTATAGTGATGTTATGTAGAGTGAACAACTCATCCTGCTATGCACATCAAAGGTCTCGATTAATCGAGCGATGAGTCTACGGACGACATGTGACGCCATCCAGATGTTGTAGGATTCAAGCTGAACAAAGCTGTATCTTAATGAGGAGCTTTACCTCAGATCAATGCTTCTGCATTCTGACTTTGCATGACCAATCCACTTCTGTTTGTTTTGTGTTTCTGATTCGCATTGTCGTGTGAGTGATATTGACGACTTTCCATGATCTCCATCGCATGGGGGCGAAATTGTAATGTGTACCAATTGTTACGAGGAAGCAATGACAGAGTCCAAGAATTGACATGTACAAGATTTTATTTGCAGTACGGAACAGGTACCGTGCTTGATCGCAACGAGACAATTCCATTCGCCAAGTCTACCTGTTGATCGTGAAGCCTGGAGCATCGAGTAATTGTGTTCATTAAAACTGAACGTGTATCATGAAACAAGATGTGCGCAGTCCATAATTCCAGTCATGATGTCGATTAGTTGCCTTGACAAATACAGAAAAAGTCAACATTTGCAGCTTTGTATTGTGCACTTTGCGTTGGCAGAAACTCTTCACTTCATCAGGTAGGTCCTGCGTGTGAGCAGTACATTGTTCCTGGTCAAAGAAGTGGAATTGAAGCTGAGCACAGCATCGTAATGCCTCGCAAGTTGGTCATCACTGCGTGTTATCTGTTGGGTCACACTCGTGTCACTTTCACTGCATTCATGATCGGCACAACCCAGCTTTTGAACTTCCCTCAAACTTCCGCGGCTATTCACCCGTCAATTGAAGTGTGAATACCGAGGGCAGACATGTCTACAGCAATTTTAGAGCACTTTGGCTGGAGCGTAGTCGAATGTGGTGTGCAATCATTGCTGGGTCGGATGTACGTTGTCATCAGTGCACCGAATAGGTCAGCTGTCATCACAGCCATTTTGCAGCACTTGCTCTTCAGCGTACCACAACTCTCGATGGAGATTGGTTGCCTTCAATCAGAGGTCAACGCGCTCAAATCTTGACTCCCGAAGTCAACACAACTGCAAGGAAAATTTGTATGTACCGAAGTTTGGAGGAGCAGTTCATTCATTTAAACATTGCACACAAAGAAACAAGTACAATAGTATACAAATTACGTGGGTAAATGAAGCCATCAGTTCACCCCCTGGTGCAGGTTTGTAAATTTACACCTGCGACCAGAGTTCGGACTCTCGACCATGTCGGAAGTAACGAAAACAATCTCTATATCATGTGCGAGAACATGACCGAGTGACTCAACAAGCTTTTCAGAAGCAGTAGTACACGGTGTCACCCGCGCATAAGTAGTTTAAATGCTCGAAACCATCTCGAAAAATGCCGTGTTCAGCTGTGATATTAAGAAGGTTGTGTAATTTTGAAGGAGTCAAGACTATAATAAAATGAATGCTCTCTTACAAGATAGTGCGTTCCTCTCAGTATATGCCATTATAGTAATTGTGAGCCCGATGAGTGAAGCTATCAGCGACCGAGCTCAGGTGCGTGACTATACAGAACTTGGTGCAGCTCTGTAGACTGAATTACTAATATCAAAGGGCGAGCTCTAGAGCTTGTCCCCCTATTTATTTCTAAATGGATAGTCTACGTGGCACGTAGGCGTATTTAGCGGAAAATGTAGGAGCACATAGAGTTTACCCAGCCTTTCTAGCTTGGCCAAAACTAGGTCTGTTTTGACAAATAACGCTCAGGAATAGGTTAGGAAGAGTACTAGCTCATAGAAGATGCAAAATGATACCATATTTTGTCCGTGATAAAAATAATAATGACATGCAAAAAATAGTGACAAGATTATCGTAACAGTGGTTATGCTTATTGCCAAATTTATTTTGCGTTACGACTGCAAATTCTTGAGGAGCTCGTCCACAGTAAAGTGCTGTAAAGATCGAGCAATCGTGTGCACCAGCACTACGTATATTGCCCAATTGCTCACCTACATGGAAACTTTAATCGGAAGTCCAAGTCACTACTGACGAGCTGTTGCGTGTTGTTACATGTAAGCTTGCAGCATTTTACACGTATATTAGGGTGTGGCATTGCGCAGCACTAAGTCATGAGCATGAGCTTCCCAGATCAAAGCTCTACGGTTTTATTAGCCAACATTTTTGTTGGAGAACTTGCTACGCAGCAAACTTTTGTGCTGATGCTTTGGCCGGCAACTGATCAACTAAAAACACTCCCGGATATATGATGAAGCAGCTAGGGCGATAAACTTACAAGTCTTGGTGAAGTGGTAACTTTGTCGTTCTGTAGTTGGATGATGGAGGTAAAAGTTAAATGGAGGAGAAGTGTAGACTACGTGACCATGTCTATTTGATCCCTACACTCCCATTATCCCTTTTGCAAACGTTTACTTGCAAAGTTTTGCTCAAATATTGGACGTCGCTGCCTGGTCAGCATTTTTACATTCGCGATCGCTGGTGCTCAGTCCCATGCAAATGTGCAATTCGATTACCTTTAGGCTGGCAAGCCCGTACGCAGATACGTGACAAGACTGTTATCAACCATGCACCCACTGATATGCGTCACCGCTCGAACAATCACAAACAAACGTGCGCATACATTCAATCGCACACGGACCTGGCATGGACGCACACAAAACATGCTTGACTGCTTGTCTTTTGGACGCATTGCCTCCACGAAGCAAGTACATCAAGCCGGGACTTACAACGAATATTAGCCCTCGAGCTGAACAACCTCGTTCAGGTACGCAACCTTGTATCAACCGTGTCCTCTACATCGTCTATGGCCCTTTCTCAGAGTCTTCCTGACTTCGTTGCGATACTGGGGTCCAGTCTAATGCACGTTCAATATCTGGAGCGGGCTGCCACCACTCGAGGAAAACCACATACAAGTGCAATACAGCAGCAATGATACAGGCCAACAGCCCCGCCACTGGACCGATTCCATAGTAGAGCTGTAAACGATGGAGTAAAGAGCTGTCCGGAAATGCACACACCTTGGCATATATTTTCTCCGTTCGCATTGCAACAGCATCCCAATTATACATCTTCGCCACACGATCATGAAACTCCTGTCTATTGACACTGGCAAGTCGTGGCACCGCATCGAGAACTGCTTGTGCGAGCGCCTCGGGTGTAATGTCCGCAGCAAACTGCACCATATCAGGCGGTAGCACTTCAGGCACTCCGCCTACCCGCGTACTGACAACAAAAAGTCCACAAGCCGCTGCTTCGAGGATGGCAATACAAAAACTCTCTGTCAATGAGCTATTGAGAAAAATATGTCCCTGACAGAGCACGTGCCGCACCTGCACGTGCGGCACTGCTCCATACAGCGTCACTCGATCATGCAATCGGTACTTCTCCCTCATTTCTTCCAGCAGCAGCCGCTTGGCGCCATCTCCACCAATCAAAAACCGCACACGCGAATCTTGGGCACACACTAACGGGATCGCTCTTGCCACGAGATCGATCCCTTTGCGATAAACCAGCCTCGAAATAATCACGACTGTGATACAATCATCCACTTGACGTGATTGCCCGGTCTGCAATGGCAAAAACTTGGTCGCGTCCACGGCATTTGGGATCGTCGCAACTTTCTCCGGTCGCAAAGACGCACGGAGCACTAAATTCTCTCGGCACGTATGCGACACGCCAATTGCAGCATCTACTGTCGACATGGAGAACTTCATGACTTTATTCAAATGGACGCTCGCGGCATCGGCAAAGCCAAAGAGCGAGTGGTCCGTATAAACGGTTTTAATATCCATATTCAGAGCTTTCGCCTGGACGAGACACTCGTGCATAAAAGTTGACGTCGCTTGGTGACCGTGGACGATCTGCACTTTTTCTCGCACACAAATCGTCCGAAAAAGCGCCAAATGATTGACAAAAGTGGGGTACGTCACATTGTCCACAAGTGACGTGATTGGTAGATAATACACTTTGAGGCCGTGGGTCATGTACCGCACGCCAGCGCGTTGCGTGGGAAGACACGAGCGCTCGCGTGCCGGTCCGGAGACGGCATGGGTGAGCACAATGACCTTGTGACCGCGACGGAGAAGACACTGGGCGAGCGACCATATGTGCATCTCCACGCCGCCCAAGCGAGGAAAGAAAAAGTCGCAGCACATGGCGATGCATAATCGTCGGTCTGTCATCACTGTGTATTTCGTGGCTGACAAAACGTGCATGTATAGTCGTGATCCAGGTTAAAGTCGATCGAGCTGTATTTGTGGCGTACATATTTGCAGTACCAGAATACGTATCAATTCTGTATTTGCTCTATTTTGTGTCGTCAGTGGTGTGTATTGTACAAAAAAGGGGATTTAGGACGAGGAGCTCTGATGTTGTTCGACAACCTTCGTGCAAAGTCGTTGTTAAGTCAGTAGTCGATCATCGCGCAGCTGATGAACCGTCATCTGAGTTCCTGCTATTAGCTTTGGCTTTCGCAGCAACAATCTCCTCCAGCGCCGGTTGAAGAGACGGGGTGGACGACCACATGCTCTGGCTTTTGCCGTTCGTTCGAGTGAAAAAGTGGCGAGTGTCCCCTGGGACCACGGGAAATCGCTTGAAAGCTTCCGACTCGAGATACTTGAGGCACGTGACCAATCCGTGGCGTTGTGCCAACGTGAACAAGTCGACAACTTGGTCAAGGTAGAACCACCCACTGCAAAGTGTTGCTCGTCGATCCATGTTAACAAAGAAGGACGCCCCGAGCTCCTCGAAAACCAGTGTCAACACCCGAGTTTCGAAAAAACTCTGCGCCCTTCGTTGGCGACCTCGTCGCTCCGTGTGAAGTGCAGGGGTGCGGAAACAAGAAAGAGGTGACCAAAACTTGCGTTCCCAAACAGCTCGAGCATGCCACTTCCAGAACTCGTGCAATGCTTTCACCAACTTTGGAAATCGGACCCGCGAAAATGGCATTGATAGCTTGTCAGGCTTGAACACCTTCTTCCACGGCTCTTTTGCCTCGATCTGTTCCATCATAGCCATAGCGCGCTGTCGAATATCGTCGACTCCAGGAGACGCTACGACCGACGGCATCCGTTCAGTAGTAGCCACAATCTCAGCTTCATTTTGTCGACTTTCGTTGCTCTCAATTGCCAAACCCGTCGTATTCGTCGCCCCACTTATCTGCCGTTGGTCCATCTTTCTCTTCCTCCCTCTCTTTTTCGGAGAAGGAACCATCACTGCTGCATTACTTGTGTCCCCAATAGATGTCGCCTGTTCCATGTCCATCGTTGTCGACACTTCAGCTTTCAACGGCAAGGAAGCAGCTGCACGCAGCGCCTGTATGTCCACGGGAATCACACAAATCGGTCCGGTGCCGCGTTGCACGAATTCTCGCAGCAGAGCGTCGTCACCAGCACAAAACTCTTGGAAGAGATCACGCAACCACGAGATGTTTTTCGTAGCGACTCGAGCCAATAGGAAGCGGAAGACACACGCTTGAGGCGGGTCCTGCACCGGCTTTTGATTACTGAACGTTCCAGCAATTGGAATAAACAAAGTCTTGTCGCTCGGAGCGGTTGGCTGCTTCTGCTCACGTAATAACTGAGCAGCTGCGTCTTGGAATCGAGGACTTGACCTCTCGATTGGCATCACCGACACGACAGCCGCGCCAAGACGTATAAAGTCGACGAGCGTATGCTCATTCCCAGCGTAATAGTCGGTTAATATGCGACGCAGTAGTGACAGACTCGACGTGTGCAGGCGCTTGTCCAGGTAATCGCAGAAGCGTAGCAGCCGCGGCAGCGAGGCCATGAGGCTGGGAGTTGTTTGCACCAATAGGAAGAGGAGAAAGTGGCAATTCGCCTCCAATGGTGCGGCCACAATATGTGTGTCAGGTAACGGAAGTGCAGTGCTTTCTGGTACATATATTGGTGTGCGTGGAGTTTCTGCTTTTCAATTAATTTTTTAGTATTCGACGAGATGCTGATTATTATGTTGCGGATGGTATCAGTTTTAGGTATTTTAAAAATTAGACATGTTGAGTGAGTTGTTGTTGTTGTTGTTGAAGGTGATGTGCAACGGGGCACTCCTTTTTGAGCTAACTGAATAAACCTTGTACTGCTGACAGTGCAAGGGTGTGTGTGCGTCCGACTACCCCACGTACACGTACGTAAAGAGGAAGATTGCTAAATGGAGTAAGAGTACTCAGTAAAGGTAAAAAGTAGAACTGTATTTAATATAGTTTATCTCCTATTGATAAATCCCTATTCGTCTTTTAAATTTGTCTACACACAAACCTGTATTGTAACTATCTGCCCACCACTCATTGCGTGCTTCTGTCGTGGCTATACTTTATTGCTTGATAGCTTGGTCCGGTGTCAACCAAAATGCAGTGTGTTACTTCTGCGAAGCAATATTATCTATTCGGATAATATTGTGAGATAAATACGTTTGTCCTAACATAGCATTCACACTTGATATTTACCGTATGTAAATTAATATAAAACTGAGGCACCACGTTACGTCGGTCTTCTAAACAATCAGACAGTAATATATATTTAAGTGACTCTTGTGAGTGGCTCTAGGACAGGGAAACGCTTGTTAGTCATTCCATTTATTTTTCGTTCTCATCGCGTGGTCCATGCGGTGTGCAGCCATGACACTCTGCTCCACTTGTGCATGGGAGACAAGATCACCCGAACCAGCTGATGTATGTTGGTCTGCTGCTTTTAAGACTCAGTCTGCAGCAGTCACTGTTGCAGGCGCATGCGGTGATGGACTCTGTGACTTCGGAGACTATGAGCTCGAGCTCATTATCCCTGGCGAGTATTACAATGAGACCGACTTGAAGAAGGCAAAAGCTAAGGATGGGCCAGAATTGGATACCCAGAACCGACTAAGTCGGTTTCTCGAAGCGCTTAAAGCCTCACAGAGCGCCGTGACATCTTCGGAGCGTCCGACGAATCCGACCCTTCGTCTCCGAGATGGAGTCGTTCGCCTGACAGCAAGAAAGGCGGTGGCTCCGGACACCGGGACGATCTTGACGGTGATGCAAACACACATCAGAGTCCGGGTGATCGGGACGATCATCGTGTTGGTACTTCTGTTGACACTAGGCAAGAAGATAAGGATCGTGTTGCTCTTGAGAAGCAGCCGTGGATACTGCCTCAGATAGAGTTAGCTCATCTGCCTGACACGACGAGTGATCGTTAACAAATAATATTGTTCGTTATATTGAAGCTTTACAAGCTTGATCCTAATGCGAGTAACTTTCGCACCGAACATGATTTCTTCACCTATGCGTTCTTTAAGCATTGATGGTACTGTGAGAATCACAAGCGTGTTGGTCCCTCGTTAAATCAGGCATGGAACGCTATTATCACCAACGTTGGTGAGGTTGGGCATGATGCCTGGCTAAACAAGCTATTGCTAGGGCTCGAAACCGATTTAGGAATCGAAACTCAATCGTTGCACATTTCAAACTGCATCGGCTGTCAAGATTGTCTGGGCTACCACACCTCTCTTGGGGTGATACGTGCCAAGTGGTGTAAATAACTTGGAACGAGCTCCAAAGGAAGCCTACTTGATGAATGACCCTCATTGGAGGGTACGTGTCACCCAAGAGATATACGAGAGAATACCTAATTTGCAATCCCTCGGTTAGCGATATGCGTTCGTTCCCCTATGGGTATTCTTTAATATCGGATGCGTCTTGTCATACTGCTCGACAAGGACCAAATCGTTAATTTGAAGTTGAAATCGAGGCTCCCAAGTGTCTGCGGAGAGTGAATATCTACGCCACCGGACGAGGAAACTCGCATGACGTCCCTTCACACCGCGGTGATTCAACAGGCGTTCCACGAGGAAGCGTTGGTCACCGCGCGGATCAACCAATGGATGAGGCGGAAAAGGAAATTCGTTCTCAGACGGATTTGCAGGTCTATTCTGATACTGTGAGTCAGCTCGAGCACGTCACGTGTGATTCGGAATAGGACCTCTAGCACAATAGAAGTAGGCGTCTAGATTTGCTTGGGCAATGTGAACCGTCTCTCCTCGGGACGAGATATAGGCCGATAAGATTTTGCTTTTGCCCAGCTTGGGAATAAGCGAAGAAACGTTCTCTTCTTGACGAGCTCGTGGAAGCTCGTCAAGATATCTCTCGGCTTCACGGGGACATATCCAAGCTTAAGACGCGTGCTGAGAGTCAGCATCATAAGCACAAATATCTGTTCGAGATGCTTACGCAAGTTGGAAGGAAAGAAAGCATGGTAAACGAAGTATATATTGAAGCGCACTACAGACACGTTTAGCCCCTACCCCCACCCCCACCCCCACCCCGCCGGGGGCCTTTTTAGTGGCTTATCCGATCTAGAAATCAGATATTCTTGTATCTGCGGTAACGAAGCTAAGAAACTTCTAATACTTGGTGTAATCACACGAATTACCCCCTATACTTATTAAACCTAGCAGCTGGGGCGTTGACCCGGAATGGAATGTCCGCTATGACAACTATGCTTTTAACACTGTCTCCATCGTAAGAAAACCTCGTTATAATTAAAACGGCCGAAGACGACCGACGTGGAATGTAGGATGCGTGCGCATCCTACGTGGCAGTTCAATCGTTAATGCGTTGCCTAAGCGGCGCAGCACACGGAATGGACTGATAAAATTGTGTAATAAATTTTTACTCCTCGCGTTAGTCACTATGTTTCAAGGTAGGTGTATCATAGACAGTAGGACTAGGTCACCTTTACTGATTAGAAGGAAACATGATTTTCCATTTTCTTCACCATTTTGCTTTTGTCAGTACACCGATTTTGTGATGAAATCTTGCAAGAAACGGACACTTGTTTCGCGAGACAGTATGGATTCATCTGCTGAATCGCTGTGTTATGGTACAGTGTGCTCGGAGCACACTGCGCAATGACCTGTTTAGTAAGAGCACTCTCGCTCTTATTTTGTTCTTCTTTGCCAATTCGATGTAAATGACATCAACGTCATACATAGTGACCTCTTGGTCAGTACGTGATGAGTGAAAACCGATTTGGCGTTTGATCATATGAGTACTCACTTTTCAAGATAGAGTTACACTCTAAAATGGTGGTTAGGCGTTGATGGCGCAAGACATTCACGAAGATCGGTGAATGAGTCGTTGATACATGCACCGGTTATGGGTGTCGAATTCCACCATTGGCAAGAATTTGCTCCAATCAGTAAACGAATGTACTAAATCTTGCAGGATTACCTTAAGAACCCGGTTGGCACTTTCTGTCCGATCATCTCTTCCAGGATGGTCAGAGGTCGACATCTGTAGGCGCTTTCCGATTGTTTTGAACACGGATCGCTAAATTAAGCAGTGAACCGTGGGTCTCTATCAGAGAATAGTTCACGTGATAACCCATGAAGACGAAAGTTCGCGTTGATGAAACAACGAGTACATGCCGATATATTGATAGGTTCAGGTTCAGCGGACAGGTGTACTATTCTACTGAATGTATTAACGAATACGACAAGACCTGTGTTTTTGTGTGGGTCTGGGGGGACTTCAAAAACAAAGTCTATTGATACAGATTCCTAGCATTTTGCCGGCATGGGCAAAGGTTGCAATGGCGCACGAAGTGAAGGACCCTACTTCACTCTTTAGCATACTCATGCTTGATGCGCAGTCGCAGGTCAACTTGGTCTAGTACATCGACACGAGTAGTATCGCCGGCATCGGCTAAATAGCTAAGTAAGCCATTATGGGCTGTAAATATTAATCCTTAAAGGACCGATAACTTTGGGTGACCCTTTCAGGCATTGACAAGATGGCTGCGTGAAATAAATCATCAAACGCACCATCGCCGGATCGTAAGTCTCGCGCATGTCTTCGAATTAGGTTGACGACGGGAAAATCGACGTCAAAACCACAACAGTAGTAGAATCAGTTTCGAGTGGCTTAGCCGGATCGAAATCGGGCTGGTGCGACCTAGCATCGGCAACAAAATTTAGCCGTCCAGTTTTGCAATTCACGGAGAATTTGTAATCCGCAAAGAACTAAAGCCACCTCGTCATTCGTTGCGGTACGCGTTGACTGCTAACGGCTCTGCGTAAGGACGAATAGTCCCTGTAAACGATGAAGGTTCCATCGCCTAGCAGGCAGATTCTGAACTGCGCCAGCGCGTACTTCATGGCAAGGAGCTCCTTACATGTACCGGGTAGTTGCGTTCAGTCAGTTGCAGCTGATGTGGCTGATATCTGACGATACACTCAGCACAGTATGTGTCATATTGCGTTAGTGCGTTTCCGATGGCAAATCACTTGCATCGCAGACCACATGAAATGATCTGTATTGGTCTGCAATTACCAAAACTGGCGGGAGTATCAAGCTCTACTTGTATGTGAGAGGAGCGCTGTCAATTAACTATCCATGCCCACTTCTCTTTCAATAAACGAGCGAGGTAAACAGTCATCTCGACGTAATTGTGCGATCTTTCGTGCAAATACGCCGCTAGATCCAGGACCTTTTGGAGTCTTTATACGTCGGTAGACACTGGACAGTGAGTATCGCTTGATCTTTCCCGGATGAGCCAGACGCCGTTCTTACCCACGATGCTACCAAGAAGTGTTGTTTTGCGTACAGCAAATAGACACTTCTTGAGTTTGGCGTGCAGCTTGTATTCGCGCATTAGTGTAAGAACCTTTTGGACGTTTATTCAGTGTATTTCCACATCCTTCTGTCCATCCATAGCCTGGCTATGAACGAACACGTCATTGAAATATCCAGGTGCGACTTCTTGCATAGACTTCAATAAATTCGTATAGTATCTGTTGAACGTAGCAGGGGCATTACTAAATATCTGTGGCATAACTAGCCACCCCCAAAGCATACCGCGTGAAGTGCTCAATGTAGTAAAGCGGATGCTTCATGCATCCCCTTCACGCATAACGATATGATAAAAGTCATCTACAGGTTAATGGATAAAATCGTATACTCTTAGCCATACCATCTTTGATAGTATCTTTCCTTGGTATCGGTGTTTGAGACGGTAAAGTGGCAGCGTTCAACTTGTTAAAGGCGTGTACTATCCGCCACCTTCTTGTGGTTTATCGCGTACAAAAGGTCGTAGAGCTATGCAAAGAGGTGGACTCCCTCACATGGCCGAATACAAAGCGATCTGCAAAGAATTTGTCGATCGATAGTACTTGCTCATGAGTCAATGTCCATTGCTTCATGACACAGTACTACCTACCTGGTTTTAGGTCGATTTCGTGATAAATGCCTTTGTCCTTGGGTAACTCGCACGGTACCACTTCTGAGAATACTTTCCTTAATCCCATCAAATCATCGTATAGAGGATTTGTCTGAAGCGATTTTTACGACTGGGATGTATGTCGCTCAATTAAAGTCTTCTCAACGAAGACACTCTCTTCCATTGATGAGATACTAAGAACTCGTTCGTCTTCGGCAAAGATCGTTGACGATCGGAATTCACTGAAGTACTCACCCTCCTCGACAAGTAATCAGATCTGCTTGACATTGCTACAACGCAGATCATGCAGAAAAAATATCTTTTTTGGTTTTGCGGGGATACCTGATTGATCTCCGAGCATAATTTCGGAGGCGCGATCCAACCAAGCATATATCTACCTATGCTTGATCCGTCGTTGATCTGGACACTGAATGTCCCTTTCATCCCGTAGGAACTTACTTTTACTGTTTGTTGGGGCATTATTCCCTCAGCTATAGCCGCTCGAGCTATAACATCTCCGTATTGACCATCACTAACAATCGGTTGATCATGATCTTTGTGCTAATAACTAAGAAGACAACCATGCCCCGGTCTGCTTGAACAATTCGAGAGGTGGGCCCTCGGCGCTTCCTACATTGTGATGCAGTCGTCGGGAACTTTTTCCGCAGATGTAGGTCAGTCACATTATGATCTTTTGCTGTCATACTAACGACCGAACTTCACGTGAGGTCATCGCGCTCACTCGTAGTAAAACTACATGGTGCTGAATGCTCCCAGACGTTCATCATATGATCATCTGGTGAGTGAGCAGCGGAAAATTTCGACCATTTCATCGATGCTAGCTGACTTATGGCTCGTGCCTTCTGAGCGACGGTAAACCAAGGATAACATCAAATTTTATTCAAATCCAAGAAGTTGCAGTCATCATCGTACTGGACTTATT